CAAGCCATTCCATATATAAGCAGTTCCATATATAGCAGTTCCATATATAGCAGTCCCATATATAGCAGTTCCATATATAGAGATATCTCACGTGACGTCACGATGCCTCGAACTCGCGGGGCATCCGCCATACTGGAGGACAAGCAAACGCTGTATGATAGTGGCGTGCACACGGGACCGCATAAACATGTTCAAAATGTTTGCCGTTTTTGGCTGCAGCAAAAGGAGAGACAGGGAAAATAAGTTGTGTTACTGACTGCCAGCCGTCCTTACTTCACACGGCTCCAAAACAGAAGAAATCTCAAAGAAACGAGAGAGAAATGGCACAACCATACGCAACAACAAAAAACTAATAGCCACCAGAGCGCCCGAATATGCTCGGATCATTTCATTTCTGCTAAGTGAAATCAATTTGATGGCGGATTTAGTGTTATTCCGAAACAAACAGAAGTTTAAGGATAAAACATATCTGTCTGACTGCAACGTGGGGTTGCTCCATAGACTGTAGCTTAGCTTGTAGCATAGCTGTTATATATTTGGTCTCACACAGGACCTGACCCGGTTCACAGAGTATCTGACTTACCGAAGGCCAGCAGACATGTGAACGACTGAGCCGTGCTCCAGGGTGCCCCGTACTAGTATTTATTAATAAAATATACGGCTCCTCACAGTAGACGCAGAAAGCTCCATTGATTTGAATGTAATCTCATTATTTCCACTGCAGTGTAGCCACACATAGATCCATGGTGTAACAATAAACACATTAAATGTTAATCGGAGAATACATTATACATATACATTCTTAATACACGTGCACAGAGGTTTTCAGAATTTTCTGTTCACGTTTTCATGAAAAAACACTGTTTTAATGCAACAATATGCGACCGCGGTAAACCTGGATGTAACAATAAACATTAATAATACATTTTAGGATGCATTTTCAGAGGATCTGATTCATGAATTTAGGTTGAGTATATATTTGGGTCACTAACTGCTGAAGTTTCAAATTCTCTGTTCAGTTTTCATGTAGTTCGAGAGAGTTCTAGTTTTGAACGTCCAGTTATAGATAGCTAGCAGGGCTGTTACTCGCCGAGGTTGTCCTCCAGTATGGCTGCCGTGGCTGCTAGTCACGTGACCGTAGGATCCCTCTATAAGCAGTTCCATATATAGCAGTTCCATATATAAGCAGTTCCATATATATAGCAGTTCCGCATGAAGCAGTTCCGGGTACGGTATAACAGCTCCAGATATAAGCAGTTCCAGATATAAGCAGTTCCAGATATAACAGATCCGTGCGGGATTAACCTGGGAGCTCGCAGTCCAATGTGAGGGATTCAATTTGGGAGCCGCAGTCCAGAGGGATTTAAACTGGGCTTGCAGTCCAACGAGGGATTTAAACAGAGCTCGTAGTCCAGAGGGATTTAAGAGAGCCTGCAGGCCAAAGTGAGGGATTAAAACTGAGAGCGCGCAGTCCAATGTAAGGGATTAAACTGAGGTCTTGCAGTCCAATGTGAGGAATAACGGAGCTTGCAGTCAGAGTGAAGGATTTAAACGGAGCTTGGTTAAGAGAGCCTGCAGAACAATGCGAGGGCTTTAAACTGAAGCTTGCCCACCATGCACGGGGCCAACTGAGCCTGCAGTACAATGCGAGGGGAAAAACCGTCCGCAGGTCTCATACTTACCCACAACGCCAGAAGACAAGGGACAACACAACGGGACCACGCCGTACCACACGAGGAGGCAGGGATGCGCACAGCCCCCACCGCACCGGGCCAGACCGGCCGTATGCAGCAGCAGAGACGAGCAGCGGCGAACCCGCAGAAAGAGCCCGCAAAGGAGGAGAGCGGCAAAGACCCACGGACCACAGCACGAGACCCGCAGCAGGTGCAGCGACGCGGAGGAGGAGCGGACCACACGCAGCAAGACAGAGGACAGCAGGGACCGCAGGAGGAAGCGTGAGTAGACAAAAGCGATTCCTCCAGAACGATTCATGCGAGGCTTCGAGAAGGCCGAGAGTGGGAGTTTCTCCGCGTTTAAGCGGCTTGCCTGGCCGGTGCGGTGATTGGAAGGGGCGTTTGCAGCGCGATAGGCTGGGGATGAGAACCGGCCTGGAGGGGTTACCTTTGGCTGACGTCTACCAAATTGAACTTTCGCTGGCTGCATTTTTACTTTAACTGTAGAAAACAGCAAAAAAAAGTTATGAGAAAGAGTTTTTGATGCAACATAATATGTTTTATGGCACACACACCCACATCCACAAAGTGTTGCTCGAATATTTCAAAAAGTACTCATCCAAATCATCAACATATACATATAAAAAGTAGACCCCAGAACAGACTATGTCAGAAAGAATGGCCAGTATTCATCCATTAGGTGGCGCTATATTCATTTCAATAACAGTAAATCACAAAGTTAAACACTATAAATGACAATAAATCAAAGTGAACAGACTATGTAACCATACTATAAGTGCAATAGAATACTGTTTTGTATTTTTTTGTTTGTTTGTGTGCGCATGTATGTGCGTTTATACACGCGTTTGTGTGTGTTTTATTGGTTATATCTACAGAGTGTTGTTCTATTTAGTCGAGCGAGCGCTGTGACCATAACTGGACTTTGCCGCTGGCTCCTGGTGCAAGCTCAGTGATAGTTTTAGCGATAGCCCACTTTTCTGTGGCTTTTTTGAGGTGCACCACTGGTCTGCTGCTCTGACCCTCCACATGGTCTGCTACTCTGACCCTCCACATGGTCTGCTGCTCTGACCATCCACATGGTCTGCTGCTCTGACCCTCCACATGGTCTGCTGCTCTGACCCTCCACATGGTCTGCTGCTCTGACCCTCCACATGGTCTGCTGCTAGAGACACATTTACTGCTTAAACTGGCTCCAAATGATACCTGTCCCTGACTACATTCCTCCATGCCTGCTTCACCTCTGAGTGAAAAACGTATTTTTACGTCAATGAGTTAATTGGACCTCTGTAAACTACTCATCAATCCTGTTGGTCTACTGTTACTGTTACTTGGCAAAATGTTTTTGGCATCACAGAAAAAAATACAAACAAAATTAAGCCGCAGCGTTAAATGTGCAAGAACAATACAACGGTTTATATCCTGGAATTCACAGTACTGTCCCTGTAAACCTGCATAAAGCAACTTAAAATTAGACCAGGATGGACAAGAATAAACAGAAACATCTCTGTTCCGTTGACCAATACAGATGCAAGCGAACATAACAGTCTCCTGTGAACCAACTGATTAATCCTCAACCTGGTCCTTCTCCCATGCCCCCAAAAATATTGGTGACAATTTTTTCTCCCATTATTTTTATTTGTCATAGTACATGAAACAACACGGTAGAGTGGTCCCCAGCTGCAGATGCGGCCCCCAGCGCTGCACAGATGGACTGAGGCCCGCACGAGAACCTGGCAGCTCTGATGTCATTAAAGCAAATGGAGAATGAGGCGACATGAGGGGGCCGCAGGAAATCAACACACAGACGCACAAAGCTGTGGAAAAATGTCGTCACTCTTATATGGATTTTATTTTCTTTCATGGTGTTAGTCTGTGACGTTTGAGAAGTGACACATTTATTAATGGGAAATTGTTTCTGTATTTTAAGTTGTTTGCTTTGCCTTTTCTTTCAAAACTTGTTTTTAATTTGTACAATATGTTTTCAGTTTTCATGTAATGTTTATTATTTAATAGAATTACTTAATTATTATTTCATTCACTACGCCCTGGTTTATTATGTAGCCACAGCTGCCCTGGAGAAGATCGACAGAAGTCAAGCTATGAATTTGCTACACCCTGTAATCTCTTGCTCTCAAAGTCCATACATCAGGGAGATTCACCACAAAAAGTGATGAAAAATAAGTTTAAAAAAATTTAGCAAATTTGAGCACATTTAGAATGCCTAAAAACAAGATGTTCCACTGGGACAATTAAAATGATCTTGTTTTAAAAAGATACAAGAAACGTCTCCCATGGAATGAGAAAATTCAGATTCAGATCAGATTCATTTATTTGCCATGTGCAGTATGAAAACCACATTGGAATACATTTGCAAAAAAGGTACTCTGTGTGCACAAACAGAATAAAAAGCACAATACTTATAAAATACACATACAAATACACTTGAACATAAATAAAAACAGATTACACTGTGGCACCGATCGACAAAAAAAACCATACAAGGGGAAAAAGCAGCAATTAAAGTGCTCTGTGTAGGCACCTAACAGCTTGTGGAAAGAAGCTGTTAGCATAGCGAGATGTCTTGCATCTCAGCGAACGATATCTTCTGCCAGAGGGAAGAAGCTGGAACATGGCTTTCCCAGGGTGGCAAGAAGAGTCATTGATGATTTCAAGAGCTCGGTTTTCAAAAGTCTGGATTCATAAAGAACTAAGGCACAGTTCTTGAAATAAGACAAAATGGCTTGTCCCATTGGCAAATCTGGTTTAAAGACAGTCAGACTGTACTTAGATTAAGATTTTCTTTTTTTTTTAAACCACACGATTCAAGCAATCATTAACTCATACTTTATCATTTTTGCGGTGAGTGTGCCTGAGAAAACAACAGTATGAGCTGCAGCCCGCATGGTTAAACCTGTATATTACAGGGGTCTCCCATCCACGCATTAACCAGGCCCATACTTTATTTTGATACATCTGATAACATTAAGTTTGTGTGACCAGGCGAGTGTACACAGCAATATTGTATGCACAGCAATATTGATCTATAATAAATGATAAACAATACAGACTGTTCCATATAAAAACATTATGAAACATCTGGGAGAGGTACTGTGTAAAAACCCTTCTGAACACTAAACCTTCCTTCAACATGGGGTTTAAAGAATAACTACTCTATGTTTGATTGCAATTAGTGCATGAGGCAGCGTGAGCGTGATAGCCCAAATGTCATCTGCTCCCTCCATCTCTCTCTCTCTCTCTCTCTCACATGTCTGCGATCTGCGCCTTAGTAATGTCCCCTCCTTAGTAATGTCTCCATCATCACGATTTGACGCACTGAGCCTCCTACCTGCCCCCCGCCCTCAGAAGCCTTGCCCCTCCCCTCTCCACTGTGGGGAAAGTATAAGAAGAGCCACATCACAGTTTGAAACAATGTTAATAAGAGACAGCCCCTGAAAACCAAACATCTGCGCCTCTGACCAACAAGCAACAGCACACAAGTAAGTCCTGCATTTCTACTCAATAGGTATAGTTATATTGTATATTTGTAATGACTTCTTAAAATCAGTTTTCACAAAAAGACGAAGGGGACTTAGTAATTTATATGTTTCATAGTAGTTCATCTTGTATTAGCTGCATAGAGAATACAATATACGTAAACGAAACGTCTCAGCACCATGGACAGCGACACACCGGTTTTTCACTTTTGCTACAAACCTGAACTTCATACAATAAAACAATGTTCATCAGCCTTTATCCATCTCTTCTGAATAATCCAAAACCTATTTTGAGGGACTTTTGTATTTTCAGCCTCATGTTGATTGTGATGAACTTGTAATGGTTTTATTAATGCATTTCTGCATGTGAAGGAAATGTAAAGCCCATGGTCTGTGGATATCAGCATATACTGTCATGTAGAGAAAAATTAGTTGTTAAACATAAAAAACAAGAACACGCATTCATTTTGCCAGTCTTATTCTTTGCCAAAACTTTGAATTTACCAAGATTTTGAATGTAGCAATGTTAAGGTTTATAGGCAATTGGTCCTCTGAATTTGACCTCTTGCACTACCACTTGTCCAGTCACAGCTTCTCCTCACACATACAGTAGAACTGTGGTCCCAGGTCGACTCTCTCCTAATGTTCTTTGATCCGTCTCTTTGATCTTGCAGTGGCCCTGATGTTGAAGCCGTGGACGGTCCTGGTGGCTGTACTGCTGTGTGTTCTCATGTGTCTCAGTGCGCTGTCTGAGGCATATCCCCCCAAACCGGAGAACCCAGGAGAGGACGCCCCACCGGAGGAGCTGGCCAAGTACTACACCGCCCTGAGACACTATATCAACCTCATCACCCGACAGAGGTACGAATATATACTCATGCAATGTAGGCCGTTTACAGGAAATAAATATAACATGATAGTTTTTTGAATATTTGTAATTAATCCTGTTATTTTAAAAGCAAATTGTAAACCTAACTTGGATAATAAGAGTAGGGCATCTCTCCAAAAACACATGAGTTGTTGAATTCCTTTGCGAGTTCTTTACTGTTTGGTTTAAGAAGAAAGGAAAGAATAGATAATAAAAAAGAGTGTGAAAAATATCAAGTAAAACAACATAAGTTTCAATACATTTTTAACATTCAAAAAGTTGACTAAAATCTTTTTTAAACTTATTACGCAACAGCAGTCGTCTCGGAGGACTTAACAAAGTTGTCAATTCACCAACAGCAGATCAGAGAATCAAACACAGAACAAGAGAATAGAATGGCTTATTAGAAACACTGCAAAATACAACTCAATCACATTTATACCAGATTTATCTTTTTAATGTATAATCACAACAAGGAGATTTTTGCTCTCTAAACTGTAACAACCTAATCTTCTCTTCTGAGTCTGTGGCAGTCTGACTTGGTGTGTAAGAGCATAAAGGCCCCCCTCATCCTGGTTCATTGTCCTGGGGGCACCTTTCTGTATTACAATTCCTATAAATCCAGGAACAACTCTGGTCAGAGAAAAAAGTAAATTTTTAGTAGCGAAGAAAACCAAAGTGAACTCATTTTACTAGAACACAACATAATTTTCAGACAGAAATACCAATCATAAATCACAAGGAATCAAGTTTAGAGTGAATCATTCCAACGCTTAAATAAAATTGCAGTGAGCTTGTTGTGTGAGATCTTTTCTCTGGACATTTACTGACGACAGGGGTCAGTCTGGTTAATGAGCAAAAGCCACAGGAGATCTGCAAATGACTGCTTTGATGCAACAAAGACAAAACAAGTAAAAAACAAGCTATAAATCACTCATTCCCTTAATAACGACGGCACAGGCTGAAGTCTGCAAACGATAATGAAACACATGATTAATGAATGCATCTATACGTTTATTTAGAAACAGTTTTGAATGTATTTTACAGACTATTTGGGTTCATGACAGTAATAATCTATGATGTGTATTATTTCCCAGCTCGACCTGAGAAATAAGAGGGGCCAAAACAGTCCGAAATGTGGTTAGCTGCACTTTATTCAGACGGCACAGTGTATTCTTCTTCTGACGGAGCGACCTGTTCTTATTCATGAAAGTCAAATAGGGCATTGATATTTCAGAGGGCTCCTGCACACAGCTAAAGCCATATCTATGGGCCACATTACGCACATTTTCGAGGGAGATGGATTGCTTATATGATGAGGTAAAGAAGAAACTAAATAAAGGAAATGTCTATTGATATTGTTTCCATAGTGTGGGGAAAACTATGCATAGAAAACTATGCTTGGATTGTCTTGCTTCTGTAATAAATGATAACATAAAACTACTTAATGCCATTAACACAGGTACAATAACAGACAATCCTAGAAAGACACTGTTTAAATTGTCTTTTTGGTTGGAAGCCTTGAGCTGAAACTAATAAACAGCTGGTTAAAGCAATAATCAGCCATAACTTTTTCACTCCATCTGTTTCACATCACAAAGAATGAAAAAATGTCTCCACTATTGCACAGAAAACACACAAAAAGATTGAGCCCAAAATTGTTACAGCCGTTGAATTAAAAACTGCTATAATGTAGGCAAAGCAAGTTTATTTGTGTAACTCAAAGTGCTGAGTAAAACAAGATAGAGACAGTCACACAAGACATTCAATCATAAATAATCACCATACATTAAAAAAGAGTAAAGATTAAATCCCCCAGTTTTATAACCTGGATTCAAACATTGTCAGGGAAGAAGCCTGTCTCACATTTTCAGGAAAACTGTTCCTGATTTTGGGTGCATGAATCATGAAGTGAACAAATATTTTGCGAATGCCAGAAATAAAAAAATACATTGTTAACATTACATAGGTCCAACGTTAATTTGTTGTTGTTGTTGTTGCTACATGCTAGCAGTGACTCTCAGGGGCCAGGCCTTTCTTTGTGGACTTTGAATGTTTCTCCCCATGACTGGGTGGGTTTCCTCCAGGTGCTCCACTTTCCCCCACCAACCAATAGGTCAACCATAGAAATATCCTCCAGTGAAGGTAGTCCTGACCAAGCTTAGTATAAACAGCTGGAGATTGGCCCTTCCGTGCTGCGCTGCCAAAGAACACATTTTACTACCAGGACAATAAAGTGTCAATTGGACTGGACAATTTAAAAAAAGAAAATGTGTTACAGTTGACTTCACAATAACTTGAAAGTGTTGAATTCTAATGGTCCCAATACTAGCACAGAACAAAAATATGACAATTATATTTGATGATTGTAATAATACAACAGTATACGTCAGAGGAGGTCTGGGATGAGGAGCAGGGTAATAAAGCAGACAGTGGTATAAGGAGGGACTTGGAGACTGCTGAGCCTGTCATTATGAGTAAGACATTTTTGCTGGAAATGTGCTCCTCTCACAGCTGAGATCGGACACCAGTGATTGCTCCCCCACAGACTGGAGTAACAGACCGTAATATTGGATGAGGGCGTCACAGGGCTCCGAGAACAAGTGGTTAATGGGAGATGGATGAGGAAGAGGTTCCACTGTTAGAGTTTGGCTCTTCACACAAAACATGAGCTCTGTACGGTTGTGTGGTTTTACATTGGCAGATTCTGTGGCCAAGGGACAAAAACACTCTTCATGGATTCTATGCTCATTAAAAATTGCCGCTCAGCAGGAAGATATGACAATGGATGTGCCTAAATTGTTGAATATGTGGTGTTTTTTGTCATAATTCTGTTCTCAAACTATCCTTTAATACGTGTTGTAGCTTGACAAACTTCAGCCATATTCATAGCCACAATGTTAGTTGTTATTACATAAAGTTTGTTGTTGTTCATGGCAGGTATGGCAAGCGTTCGGCTCAGGAAGACGTGGTTGCTGAACTTCTGTTTGGGAGTGACAGCAGAGATCAGAGATCACGGTGAGTTTGCAAAGTCATGTGAGCTGCTTTACAGTTAAGCTTTGACATGTTTGTTTTTGTACGTAGATATGATGACAACTTCATGTGGTGACTTCATCAGGCTCTTCCCTTGGGCGTTCCCACAATGCACCTGGAGGTGGCGTCATGTGCCTCTCACCAGACCTTCAAAGATCGCGTGATCATTTGCCATCACAAACCACAAACTGTCTGTCTCACTTCATTGACCCACAGTGTATTATGCAGTATATACTTGTTAATAAATAATGTGTCATACCTTGGCTAGCCAGTAGGTAGAGCGCTGTGTCTGCATTTTTGAGCTGTAGCACTGTTGGTCATCTCACTCTCAAAGATGTAAAGATCCACGTCCAAATAAATGTATTTAAATGTTTCACAGAGTCATTATGTTTCACAAAATCACATCAGGTTTGAATATGATATGAGTATTATCATTGCATGTACAATAATGTAATTCATTACTATAGATGTTAGAGATTTTATTTTATTGACAGATTTTGGACAATTTGAGGGTGTTAAATATACAGTTATTTATTAGTAATATATTATTTGTATTGTTGGTCTTGTGGCTTTGGAAATAATAATATCAAAAGAAAGAAATACTACTTATTTCTTGTGTTCATTAGTTTATTTATTGATTACAACACACTGGGGACATTTCAGTGTTGAGATGAACAAGCATAGTATGGACACAAATAGAATAGTTATGAAAAAATACAATCGGAAGATAATTAAAGATTCCCATAGTAATAAATACATTGTGCATGATACAAAAGATGACAAAAAATGATGGCTATGAGGCTTATCACAGAGACGCATATGAGCCATGTTGAAAAAACGTTACGTATTAATTGCCAATTTGCAAGAAAAAAATACTGTTACCTACACGTTTTTTTAAAACACTTTTTTGAATGGCAGATTTAAGTGCCATTCCAATAAATAGTCTCCCTCTTTCTTGTGGAAATCCTTTTAAATTTACTGCCAAAATATGTTGAAGAGTGTTGTTAGAGGAATACGACTTTTTGACAAAAATTCAAAACGGAGATATCTTGGTTTTTTTTTCAACAACCAAAAAAGGGATGAAAGAGTGAGAATGTCCCAAAAATACTTTTACTTTCTATTTTGCTATAAACACGTCCTACACGTGCTACACATGGGTGGAATGGTCCTACCTAATGTTACATGTTATTAGAACGTGCATTACTTTGAAAGGTGACCGGAAATGTAGAGTTTCGTCCGTTCAATTGACGCCAGAAGCACGCAGACGACAACAAGAAGCGCACGAGACATCACGCACAGCAGGGAGCGTGTCTTTTTGTAGCAAAGGTAGGCGATGATTTTATAACATGGGATACAGACAAACATTCAACGGCAAACGATATTTATGTTGGATACACATGACGTTTAGGGCGCAATTGTTTCCCTGACGCGCGCCTATTGGAGAAAGCTCCATCGGACAGGGCTGACAAAGGTGCGTCAGTGAGCGTGCGTTTTAACTCCAAGCGACCCGAAATATCCATGTATATCATTTTGATTGTTTGCATTTTACCGTGCCTTTTTCCTCATTTTTAGACTTGCACTTGAGAAGAATAGGCTAATCAACCTATTCCCCGTTGCCTCAGCGTGAGGTATCGTGGCCCCTTCCAAGTTGGACCACGTTCCCATGTGAAGCGACCATAATATACGTGGTTCATGTGTGACGTATGGAGAAAACGTGATTCTGCATGCGGGACACCACCCCTTTGCTTTTGAAAGAACCTCTGTAGATAATGATGATTAATATGACTGAACTCAGGTTGCAATAGCCATATTCAAGAAGTGTCTCTGCTTGGAATATTTAAATACGTTTTTTGGATTGGGGTGAACAAGACATGTAAACTGCATAGGAAAAAAGATAAAAACACGCCACCTGTCTGTATGTTATAATGCGTGCGTCAGTGCAATTGTACTACCACATGTGTCCATTTGTTTTGAGCTTCTTTTCATATTGACGCAGAGGAGCAGATGGGAGACGTAAGAGCACGAGGGGAGGGACGGGGAGGGGCACGTGGGGTGGAATAAATCAAAAGATGGGGGTGGTTATTATGAGACCTTATAGAGTGTGAGTGGGTAAAGGAAAGGCAGCCTGCAGATAACTAAAATTAGCTTGATATTCCAGGTTGTAATTGTTCATTGGAATACGTCACCAGTCCCTAGCCCATAGTGTTGTGTAATTGCCTCTCTATCAGAGGCGGTTTCCATGGCAGCCACGAGCCCTATAGCCCAAAGTGGTCATAAAACAGTTCTTCCAGTGGAGAAAGACCATAGACATGGCAGCTTCATGAACACTTGATAGACACTTTGTTTTTAGTTTTGCCCCACTGCTGCTGGGTCCTCCTCAAAATCACAACCACGGTCGTTGTCATAGTGATGTATAGATTAGTTACGCACCCCCCACCCCTCTTCTTTGTTTCCATTCTCTCACTGGTTAATTTACTTTCATGATTTCGTCAAGTTTGTGGACCCAGACAAAATAAACACTATACCGCAACACTTAACATTTACACATTTATCTTTCCTCTTCTCGTCTTATAAACATTACAACATTTGGATTGCATAATTTATGGAATATTAAAGATTTGTTCCAATTGTTCAACCTATAGAACGAATTATGTTCCAATGTAGCATTTTTTGTATAGTTGATCAAGTTGTGCCGAGCCGTTGCTCTATTTCGTCTTTATGTTGATGGTAGTAGTAGTAGTAGTAGTAGTAGTAGTAGTAGTAATTGTAGTATGCGGTGTCATTTCACTGTACTAGTGTAGTGTAAACACAGTGGCCAAACATAGCAGTAGATGAATGGTCATTTTGACTGCTTTTTGAAATGACCATATAGACAACATAATAAAATATACACATTGGCTTTATTTTATAGGGGCCCACATAAAAAAATGAGGTAAAGAATGATGTTGTTGAATGGCTGTTTGTGTGAACTTACCAGTAATAAGAAAGACGTCTCCTTTACAGCCCTTGTCGTTCAGTGAGTGGATGCAAAATAACTTTCTCCAGCTAAACGCAGACAAAACTGAAATGATTGTCTTTGGTCCCCTGAAACAAAGAGAGAGCGTCATCTGTCACCTACAGTCTCTCTCCCTAAAACCTTCAAACAAGGTCAGAAATCTAGGGGTAATACTGGACTCAGACTTAAATTTTAATAGCCACATCAAATCAGTAACATCAGCAGCTTTTTACCATCTAAAAAACATTGCCAGGATCAAAAACATAGTGCCTAAAGCAGACTTGGAGATTCTTATCCATGCATTTGTCTCCAGTAGGTTAGACTACTGCAATGGCCTGCTCACAGGTCTGTCCAAACAGGCTGTAAAACAGCTGCAGTACATTCAAAATGCAGCAGCTCGAGTCCTGACTAGAACCAGGAAGTACGACCACATTAGTCCAGTCCTCAGGTCTCTGCACTGGCTTCCTGTGGCTCAGAGAATAGACTTTAAAACAGCTCTGCTTGTGTACAAGTCTCTCCATGGCCTCGCACCAAAATATATTAGTGACATGTTAGTCCCATATGAACCAGCCCGGACTCTGAGGAGCACAGGGACTGGACTCCTGTTAGTGCCCAGAGTCAGAACTAAACATGGGGAGGCTGCTTTTCAGATCCATGCTGCTAAAATCTGGAACAATCTTCCTGAACATGTGAGACAGGCCTCCTCTCTGACAATGTTTAAAACCAGGTTAAAAACAGTTCTGTTTAGTTGTGCATACAACTGAGGGACTTTATATTTTTATCTTTCTTTTTAATGTTCTGTGATTATTTATGATTTTAATGCTTTCCTATTTTGTTCAGCACTTTGAATTGCCTTGTGTATGAATTGTGCTGTATAAATAAACTTGCCTTGCCTTGCTTTGTTAACGTTTTAGATTAGGTATATGGATTAAAAGGTTTAATCTCTAAATGTAATCTGTAAATGTATTTCCAATTTTGTGACAGATGAACCATTACTTTTTGAGCTGACTACTGACTAATAACTAAGTATTGTAGCTCATAACTTGTAATTAGATTATTGTTTCTTATAACTATCTATAACCTGTAGACAGTAATAACTAAGTGTATTTTTCACTCTTTAACCCTGTGAGAACTATCTCGCACAGGTTAAACAAGCACTAAACTTGTTATAATCCCAAAGTAATATAACGTCATTGAGACTGTAACAAAAAAACGATCAGTTCCCATTACTAAAGCTGATTTTTCAAAAAGTACCCAACACTGTTTATAACTAATAAGTTGTGTTGTGGAAGGTGTCGAACAGCGTGACATGGACGTGTTTGTGTTTCAGATTGACTGAAGCTGCATTATGCCTGTGGCCTCCACCAGGACCGAGCCTGGTGAGCTCTTCATCAGCTCCTCTTACATCACACTCCCCCACATTCACAATGAGTCAAAGACAGAAGACATTGTTCAGCCGTGCAGTCGGGTTTGATTTGTTCTGTTTTAGCTCCTCAGGTTTTGGACGCGATGAGTGACAGCACAGCCAGCTCTACCACCGCCAATGACCTGGACCTTATCTACCTCAAAGGCATCATGGAGAGCCCTTTGGTGAGCAGTGCCTATATTTATATTTATATATATATATATATATCAATATTCCAGGCTTTCCGGGTAGATATGCATGGCTTCTACTTTCTGCTTGCTTGAGAGACTTGCACTCTTCATCCTTCCCTCCCTCATGATCAAGACCACGAGAAACTTGAACTTGAGGAATGACAACTCCACTCACCCGGGAGGCAAGGCACCTTTTTCTGGTCGAGCACCATGGCCTCAAATTTGGAGATGCTGATTCTCATCCCAGACGCTCCACACTCGGCTGCAAACCGTCCCAGTGCATATTTCAGGTCCTGGTTTGTTGGAGCCAACAGGACAACATCGTCCGCAAACAGCAGAGATGAAATCCTGTGATCCTCTGACCCCCGGCTGTGCCTAGAAATTCTGTTCATAAAAACAGTGAACAGAACCGGTGATAAAGGGCAGCTTTGGCGGAGGCCAACGTGCACCAGGAACGCAGCTCTGACTCTGGTCATACAGGGACCAGACGGCCCTCAGCAGAGGACCCTGTACTCCCAGAGAACCCCCAAAGGACACCCCAGGCATCCCAAAGGTGAGGTGATGTAATCCCAGTGAACAGTCACTGGGATTACAGTGCCAAAAGACTTTTTGACACGAACATTACAAGCTAAACGTAATGAGCAAATTGGAATATCTTAAAATTCAAACTTGTATTGTGACGGAAAAGATGCGCTAATTTTTGGAATAACTACTCTGCGGAATATCAACTTCCCTCATACCATAACATCATAGCAATGGAGCTGTTCTCTCACAGATGTAACAAAAAAGCTGCCAAATAATTTAACTTACATAGTGGAGTGAAAATATGATATATCCACATGGGGGCGGTAGATAGACATGAAGAACAGACATTCATTAGTGGCCCAGCGAACAATACCGGGACGAGTCATAAACGTAGTCGTCTGTTTCAGCTGAATGCCTGGTTCAGCAAAGAGTGTCATTGACATTTTCCACCTGAACAGATGTGGGGCTAGATGCTGAAGTGTTCTGGCGAGTCTTGTGCAGCCAGATAATGTGAGGAATAAGCAAAACTCTCACCACCTCCAATTTCATCAATACTTGCACCGCCAACTCCACCTCCCCCAGGAGAGGCCCCAGAAACATCAACACCAGCAACTCACCAAGAAAGGGACTCAGCAGCGGCAGATACACCATCTTCCCATACACAGAATCAGTGTTGTCATCAACCCGAGCGTCTGAGAAGTATTTATCTTTGCCTTTGAACTGGTCTGTGGCAGATACTCCACCATCACCTCCTCTGCTCACGGACTAGTCCTGGACCCTCACTGCTTTCTAATGAAGATGACCTTAGACTAATGTCTAAGGAAGGTGACCTTTCCCTTTGTTTTCCATCTCGCCCATTTTAGACTTACCTAAACATTCCTAAAGCAAAATGAGATCTGTGATGAATTCATCTCCACACATTAGCAAGACTTCTGCCCAAAATGCAAAACTTTTCCCCCGTGCCACATTGGTCTATCCAAGACACTCAGATCTACGTCTCACTGACTTTAGGAGAACATGGACAAGTGGAGACTCCCTCCTTCACTGCATCCAACAGATCAGGGAGTGGATACAAAACAACTTTCTCCACCATTTCAGATTTATGCAGCTACAATCTGAAGCAGTTCTTTTCAGCTGTCTATACAACTGAAGGATTGTATCTTCACTCTGTTAATTGTTCTGTGATTATTTATCATCTTAATATATTTTACAACCTGATAACAAAGTGGCCCCTGATAACTTAATTTTGCAGAACGTCATTCTTTTAAGTAGGATGTTATAACTGCTAACTGTGGGCCATCATCGAAACTTCCACTGTCACTTTAACTGATACAGATAGCAAGGTAAATACATACTGTGTAGTGTGTACTGTTTTAAAATAATAATGTTTCAGGCTCCAACAAATTATTGGTTTATTTTTGTTTGAAAGTAATACTGTTTAGGTTGAGTTTGTGGATTGAGATCTGAGATGGCTCTGTTGTTTCTCCAGGAGCAGGATGAGAGCCTGAAGGCCCCGCGGCTCTCCCCGGTTCAGGAGAACAATGTGGAGCTGCTGCAGGAGATCCTCCGGGAACTGGACCCCTTCAAGAGCGCCTCCGACACAGTGGCCGAGCTCTCCAACATCCTCACACAGCCACACTTCCAGGTGCTTTCTGCGATTAAACTTGTCTTTACTTGCTTGTATTTATTTACCTTTTACTGTAAAAACCTTACTAACATATCAACGCTAAATAAGTTACAACTGGACCAACCATGACTATTAAATAAAGTCTGAGTCAACACCAAACATGAATGAAAATGTACATATATTTGGAAGTTAATAAAAGAGTAAAAAGAGAGGTTACTTTCATTCAGAAGTTAGTTGAAATGTCAGTATTTTTAATCCTAACTATAAATAACTATACATACCAGAGCATTATTTACAAGCCACCGGTAAACAAACAAACTAGTCAAATGTCATGTCTAATGTAATGTCCTCAACTAATGTTTATGTCCAGTCCCTTCTGGAGACCCATGATTCTGTAGCGTCCCAGGCCTGTGACAGCCCGCCGCCCAGCCCATGTGACTTTGTGGACCACGACGAGGATGACGAGGATGACGATGAATGCGACACCCACAACCACCACCCCCCTGACGCGGTCCGCATGGTGGGAATCCGCAAGGTGGCAGGAGAGCATCTGGTAGGGCTCATTCATAAAGACATTGTGTATATTGTAATTGTTTCGGTTTGTTTTACATGTTCCTTTCCGTGACTGTTACAGGGAGTCACATTCAAAGTAGAAAATGGAGAATTGGTCATAGCTCGTATTCTTCACGGCGGAATGGTCGACCAGCAAGGCCTTCTGCACGTGGGAGACATCATCAAAGAGGTATTATGATTGTCAGGATGAGATCACTTTGAAATAATAGAATGAAGACAAAAATAGCAGCCGTGTCTGTGTTCCAGGGGGAATGAAAACATAAGAGATATAATGTTGTTACACTCTCTTTACCTTGATCTTTGAATATGTTTCCTTTCATGTATATCAGGGGACAAATAATTTTATTGGAGAGTATCATAATGATGAATAATGAGGGTTGTTGCCATAGTGATTAATGATTACATTAAAATTACAAATTAAAGTAAAACAATTTTGTAGAGCAAAAATGTTGCGTTCCGAGGTGAATAGGAGGTGGGATATCTTCCAGTTGAAAAAATACCTCTAACTCTACTACTACTACTACTACTTCAGAGTGTTTGTAAATAAAGTGGCTAATGCTAAACCACAGGCAAACAAACTGCTAACGTCACAAGTTTAAACAACTTGTTTTATGTTTTTATCAGTAATAGTCATAGCTGAACCCATATGCTAAGTGGGATGACCACAATCTGCTTCCAGTTTGCAAAAGTAAAGAATCAGTCTGTACAGTTGCTTGGAAGGCAGAAAAAGACCCTCATGAACAAAGTTTTTCCTCGTAGAAAGCAACACATTCTTTAGAAGAATCTGAGCGCTTAAATGTCCTCAGGTAAACGGGCGCGAGGTTGGTCCAGACCCCAGGGTGCTGCACGAGGAGCTGCAGGTTGCCAGCGGCAACATGGTGCTGAAGATTGTCCCGAGTTATCATGAGGCCATTCCTCCTCGACAGGTGACACACACGATACAAACATACACACACATTACACAGACACTCACACACGTCTCACCCAGACATGCACGCACACACACACGCACACAAATGCACCCACACATCACAAACAGACACGCACAGACACACACACATCCACACACACATGAACTTGTCCTCCTCAACAGGTGACGCACTTATCACACACACACATTACACAGACACGCACAGACACTTACCCACACACATCATACAGTACACACACACACACATTCACACACGCACACACACACACATGCACACACACACACACAGTTGTTACAGATGTTTACTCTTGCGATCCTCAGGTGTTCTTCAAATGTCACTATGACTACGACCCCGCCTACGACACGCTGATTCCCTGCAAAGAGGCAGGTCTGAGATTCGAGACCGGAGATATCCTTCAGATTGTCAACCAGGACGATGTCAACTGGTGGCAGGTACAGTAGGACTAACACATCTATAATTTTCATGCCATTAAAAGAATATATTCAGAATTATGCTTAATGTTTATGAGCATTTTACCACGTTACACCATTGTTACCACGTCCAAAGCAGACCTGAAGTTGTTTTTAGATCCATCTGCACCAATTTCAGGAACTTCTGGAACACATATATAACTCCGCCCCTTCTGTCTCTAAGCTCCTCTCTCAAACTTGTCATGAATTATGTCATAGTCCCTCTATTTCATCATGTCAGAGCAGTTATCTGCCTTTTAATACAAAAGTTTTGACTGTTACTCAGGTGAAATTAGTGTTCACAACCAGTTATTTTCTAAAGCAAAAGAGGAACAATGCATTGGGAGATCAGAAAATGTAGAACAAACGTGAGGAAGCAGGTGCTTTTCGAGGAACCGTGAGCAAAAAAGATGAAGAACACATTAGAGAAGGTCTTCGTCAGGGCAAGTCTTATGTTGACTTGGCCCTAAAGGAATAAAGGTTTCTGATCTTTTGCCTCAGACCTTTTCCTCTTTGATCGTCAGTGTTGTATATTTTAAATATAGACTAAAGGCAGATGTGAATTTGATTGACCCGGAATTGAACTCTTGTCTCTTTCCCAAGCAAAAAGACCTGTGCCCTCAGGGATTAAGTCACAAGGACACAGGATAAGCAGACGGGAATTATAAAAAGATATCGCCTTTGAACAAGGCGAATTATTAACGTTAGATAATAAACATTATCTGCTGACAGAGCAAAAGTCCCTCACCATCAGGCGGAAAGGGAATTCACCAACGGCATTCTAACGCCTCCCAGTGGACAAGGGACGTCAGCACACCCGGAAACTCCACCCTTGGACGCATATGGATGATGTCATCGGAAGTCTCCCTTATGACCTCCCTGAAGGTCTTTTGAACGGACAGTCAGCACAGGGCCAGAGAGGGACATGGATTAGTTTTGAAGAGCTCTCTTTTGTTGGAATTTCTGTATCTAATTGTCAAGATAAATTAAATACAGATGTTAAACTTGGAGATCTTTGTCTTACTCTTGCATCAACTTTGAATACGTCAGTCAAAGGGAATTATTGACTTCATCAGCTATTTTCAAAGTTGCGAAAACCAGAAACAAATTAAACTCTTCCCTCTGGTGGTAGCGAAGGGAGTTACAAGTGGATTGCATTTTTCATCATTGATACATTACTGACCATACATTTTCTACATAAGATATGGTTTCACATTCTGAAACTTGAAAGAACAAAGTGAAGTCTCATTATTTGTTTTAATGACCGATGAATTATATTTCTTCTTTCAAAACTACGTGATGAAGTGATGACACCTTGCTTTGTTTTCAGGCGCGTCATGTTGAGGGAGGAAACACGGGGCTTATTCCCAGTCAGATGCTGGAGGAGAAGAGGAAGGCTTTTGTCAAGAACGTGGAGCTCCCTCCAGCAGGTAACAATCAGGATGAAACAAAATAATTCCACTCGGACAAACACAAATGTAGGCATGTATTTGTAGAGATCAACTGCAGTTTTAAGTTGGTTATAAAGATCATGAAGTCTCAAATCAAATCATTTCCAGTTGCTAAACACTTTTTTGACTGGTGAATAGCGCTATACTATAGAACTAAACTTACTTGTTCATTTGGGTAGTACATTGAGTTGGAGGGCATGTCCAAGAAATACAAAGTTTCAATGAAATGAACTCAAATGGAATTGAGATGAAGGACACAAACAGGAACAGCCTATTTTTAAGTGTAGCTATTTCAAAAAGCAAAACATGAGATATTAATAGCCGCTGCTTCCATTTTTGTAACTTTCCCTGAAAAAGACAAAGCATAATATGTGTCCACTCACCAAACAGGACAAAACACACTGATGCTGGATTAGTCTATTTATATAAAGCAAATTGTAGCCATCACATCCTCAGTTGCTGGACACTGCCCTCTAGTGGTCTCACAGTATCAAACTTAACATTTGGGGTGCCTAATTTTGAAGCCACCCTGAGTACTGTTTACAGCTGCTCCATATTAATTAACTAATATTAGTTAACTAATAACAAATGTGACCTTTTTAAGAATATTTTCCTCGACCATGTTTTTAAATTGTTTTCATAGGCTTAGAATTTCACTTATAAATGTTCATGGGAGCGACTCTCAACACTGTTTTTCACATGCATGTATTTTTGGCCTCTGTCACAGCTTTAGATCAGCTTTTAATGACAGAATAAACAAAAAATATACCCCACAATCTACAATCTCAACCTCAACCGTATTACTTCCAAACAGAGTAGATGCTATAATCTTGTGTGGTAATTTGACAGGTAATCTGTGCACTGGTGTTGGAATAAAGAAGAAAAAGAAAATGATGTACGTGACCACTAAAAATGCAGGTAAACAAATAGAATCATATCTATGAAACTGATTTTTAAAATCATGGGTGTCTAAATCAAGGCCCGGGGGCCAGATCCGGCCCACAAATGAATTATCTTGGCCACCGGGATGATATTTGATTAGCATTAGAACTGGCCACACGGAGCCATAAGAAAATATTGAATTATGAATTTAATTTTCAGGACATGTGTTTTCTCTCTGAAGGAAGTTTGTTTTTGTCTGTGAGCCTGTTGAAACATGTCTTCATTTGAAATTACTGACAGAGCCATAGAAAATAATGGATTATTCATGTAATCATTAAATAAAATATGGAACACTGTATTAGGACTTGGTTCAATGAGTTATATGAAATCCTTTTAATATGTTTTAATAAACATCAAACCAGTCCGGCCCTCGGCTTGAAGCAAATTTGTTTATTTGGCCCTTTAATGTATTTGACTTTGACAACCCTGGTTTAGATCGCTATAATCTTGACTTTACTTAAACCTCACTCACCTTTTCCACTTCTGCAGAGTTCGACAGACATGAGATTCTGCTGTATGAAGAGGTGGCCAAAGTCCCACCTTTCAAGAGGAAAAGCTTGGTTCTCATCGGTGCCCAGGGAGTAGGGAGGCGGAGACTGAAAACCAAACTTCTGCTAAGAGACCCACTTATCTTTGGCACCATTATTCCTTGTAAGATCCTACATACTTAAATTATTTGATGTTTTACTTATTGCCTATAAAGTAATGTAGTAGCAGTAAATGTACAAAATCAATCAAATACATATTTTTACACAAGATAGATTCCCACTGTTGTTTTCTGTCTTCAGACACGTCCAGAAAGCCTAAAAAGGGCGAGCGTGAGAGCCGGATGTATGCCTTCACCGGTCGTAGCAAAATGGAGACTGACATCAAAAATGGGCGCTTCCTGGAGCACGGAGAGTATGACGGAAACTTGTATGGGATAAAGACCGAGTCCATCCATGAGGTGGTGGAGGCCGGCCGCGTCTGTATCCTGGACACCAACCCACAGGTCAGGAACACAGGGTCAATGCACCAAATGTAAAGCAGAAATACTATGAAGGGATTCCAGCGGAGGGTCCATCTTCAGCTTGGACTCCATATTGGTCTGATCCATCTATCTTCTAATTATTTATTTATTTATTTACTGTAAAAAAGATCACCAACTTTTACACAGACACAAAAACATCTCCATGGAGAGTTGAATGTTTTGAAGAAATAGTAAATAATAGTTAGTTTGTGTTTGTCCCTCAATATGATCTTGAAATTATTTACCAATATTATTATGGATCACAGACTCTACATAGGAGTGGACAACGCTAACCAGTTAAGCTAACTCTATAAAGCCTCCTATTCAAAGCCGTGCATTGTAAAGTGAACTCCTCTGTTACCATTTGCGTCGCTTGGGCTTAGAAAATCTATGGTTTAATTAAGTAAGTCATCTTTATTTGTATACCGCCTTTCACAGACCAGAGTCACTAAGCGGTTTACAGCTGTCATTTTTGGGCATTTTTCCACTCACTCCACACAGAAATGGGGGCGAGGTCGCCAGTACAGGAGGCGCATGCCAGAGCTATTGTACATGTTTTTAGTGGTGGGGGAAACCTACGCAGACACGGGGAGAACATGCAAACCCCACTCAGAAAGGCCCTGTTCCGACCAGGATTCAAACCCAGGATCCTCTTGCTGAGAGGCGAGAGTGCTATCCACTCAGCCACCGTGCCGCCAAATTCTCTGTATGATCCGGGTGTTCACATTTTTGGATATTTGTGGATCCATTTATGACCCATAATAACTGACCAATCAACTGCTTCGAAAATTGGCCACACATTTGACTCCTACAGCCTATTTGAGTTTGCTCTAATTGTCTTCATCTGAACAAGGCAAACACTATGTGTGTCACCATTCCATTATTCTACTCTGATAGTCTATGTTAAGACTGAGAAAAAAATAAAATGAGCAGAAGACTCCCATTTAGTGGTAGTGGGAACTTGCGTCTATCTTAAATATTTCACTATTTAACTTCTAACACGAGGCAATATAATTTAAGGTACATAGTAGTGCGTTACGTATTCCCAAAACCTACATAGTTACTATATTTTTGTTGCAATATTGTTACAAAGTATGTTGATAGTCTGTCACACCCAGACTATCAACCGGAAAACCGTAACCAAAGCCAAAAAGAAATGTTTCTATGTTTTTTGTTTTCATTCTTTGATTTGGATTTTGGGGTTATTGGTTATTTTTGTCTTTGGGCTGGACTCATCGCGTGGCATTCCTTCCATGCTAATTTGTTCTGATGTTGTCACAGACTGGTGGGGCTAATAAGTAGACTCAGTAATGAACAAGTCAGCTGGATATCATGTGTTTGGCCCAAGGGTGTTTGCTGTTTTCAATATGCACATGTTTTTGTCTCGTCTAGTCTCTCAAAGTGCTACGGACTTCAGAGTTCCTGCCCTACGTGGTCTTCCTCCAGGCCCCAGAGTTTGAGGTGCTGAAGGCCATGAACCAGTCGGCAGTCGAGGCCGGCGTTGTGCCCAATACATTAACGGTAAGACGTAATGGATGGTAAGACGGTAGATTCAAAAATACAAAAGAGGACAAAAGCGTTAAATTGAATGTTTAAAAACTACACTTCATGATGACAAATAAATCTCAAACATCTTAATTCCCAGTCATCGCTATTCTCTCAATAAACATCAGATGCTTGCTTTCAGTTGGCATCTTTCTTTGAACATCTGTGAACCATCCAGTAGAGGGAGACAGAATCCATTTGGTCAAAGGGAAAGTGACACATGAAACTGCTTCACACAGGCCCAGAAATGATTAAACGTTGGATTGTTCGTCCACGTTGCCAAAGAGCGTAGCTAACAATGGTAGCAGTGCTGTGGACAGCTTCAGACATTTCTCCAAGTTTTATTTTGTTTGAGTTGTACAGATGTGTTGTTATTTTATCATCTTTGTGAGTTTATTTGGTTGTAGAAATTATTATTTAAAAAAAGATATTTTAGATGAAAGCCATAACAAAGTGTGACATTTTCTTGTTTTTATTGGAAAAGAACCGTAATTTGTGCCACAGTGGCTCGTACAAGACTAGCAACGAATTATTTACGATCATAGCCATGAATCATCAATTGTATTAATCAGAGTTTATAGCCACACCTAAGTTACTTTTCAAACTTGAGGAGCAAATGAAAAACAAGTGAAGACAAGCACTGGTTAGACCCGCCCACGCTCAACCACACAGCCTCCTGATTGGTTTTAACTATTCTCCTTCAGAAAATCGTTCTGGTGGTAGTTATGCTAATTTAACTATCACTTTTTTATTATTATTGTTACTGTACATGATATTACATTGATATGAATTCCCCTTGGTCAGAAATATGTAATGATAAAAAAAATACATCTGATGTTTCTGACATCTCCTTTAATCTATCAGGATGAAGAGCTGCGCAGAACATGTGACCAAAGTGTCAAACTCCAAGCAGCCTTTGGTCACTACTTTGACCTGACCATCGTCAACGACAGCCTGGACGAGACCTACCGCACCGTGAAGGCCGCGCTGGAGACCGTGTCCAAAAACCCCCAATGGGTCCCTGTCACCTGGGTATTCTAAAGAAAACCAGAGGGACAGATCCAGCCCATCATTCTTTGAGGAGACATTTACACTTTTTTACATTTACTCTGACTCTGATAGTAAAGATTAGGAATGGGGAAGGATTGAAAGAGCAGATATGGGTAAAAGGACATAATAAAAATGTCTATAGTTTACATACATGTTGGAGAATTCACCAATGTGCAGCTGCCTCTCTGAAGCATCTATACAACACTCAACATAGCAACAGATTGAGTTGTTATTTGTGTTGTACTACACCAGACAAGCTGGATTTTTATGATAGGTATAAAAGCGCAAACACGGTGCTTTATCTCACATGATGAATTGAATGTCGTTAAACGTTTTATATGGTGCCATGGAGTTTAATGTGGCAGTACTTGAGCCAATGTACGCCCATCATTAGTGCCATATGATCAGTCTTTGTCTGTGTTTACATCTTAGTTTTTGCTAGTTCTGATGCAAGAATGTTGTCCCATTGTTTACCAATCAACTATATAATTCAACATACTGCCAGCAATAACCTCGATCCGTCCCCTCATACATAAAAGTGCCATAGCTAAAAAAAAACAGTATTTTCAATAGTCATCATTTCAAACACATACGTCCATCTCCTATACTTTGCACATTATTTATTTGTTGAATACATTGTATAGCTGAATATTTTGATATATTTTTTTTCTGTTGTAAATTTTTGTAGATAGCATGTAGATAGTATATTCTAGACACTCGTTGACCTAGTTTGCCAGGGCAGCCATGTTAATTCAACGTTTGCTGTAGGATTCAAAGGAAGAGGGGGTTTTTAGACCGATATATATACAATGAGAATGGGCATGGCTGTCTACTCTACTGTATGTGCATGTCAAAAGTGCCCAATCTGCAAAGCACACCCCAGAAAATAGGTGACTGTATATCGCCCAGACTCTGGCGGAAGCGAAGACCATTTTTATACACTGAAAAAGTAACATCTTGGTAAGATTTATTTGCTAAAAAGATCATCAACTATGCTTTTTTTCTGAAGGTTTTTTTTTGTTGCTTGAATTTAGTTTGTCATGTAAGATTAATTTACTAGTTTTAAGATAATAATACATTAAAAAGTCTGAGCAGTTAATTTTTATGGCTTGTTTTAAGTATTATTCATATGTATGCTATTTAAAATAAAAACATTTCTTTAAAAACTTTAACAAATAAGTAGATACTTGGAAAAATTTCTACTTATTAGAAATGTATGTTTTTTTACTAGAATCAAGTCACTCAGAAGTCTTGTCACGTCATAATTTTTCTTATCTTAAGCAGTATTATACTTATTTGAATATATTTTTTCAAGGTTTTTTTCCAGTGTAGACATTAAAGAGATGGCAGATTGCCATCTCTTTAATGTCTTTTTTTGCCAGAGTTAGTTGTAAGAATTCTGATTTGTGGCAGCTATAGTACTTAAATGCACAATATGTTGTTTATCTGAAGCACTGAATATACATATCTGGTTTGGCCGGTTGTTTTATGGTCTCCGATACATTCCTATAACCCCATTGTGTCTTATGACAATAAACACACAACTGTACCTGTACTACATATACTTAACAATATGCACAAGAAAACATTCACACTAATGACTATACTTTTCCTGTTTCAGTTTTTACATGGTATCATTTGTCGGAGTATGTTTGCTACAGGCTGCCGCTCGCTACTACTTTAAAAAGTCTGCACCAAGTTGGAATGAGATCATGTTTGGAGCAGCTGACTTTGTTGATACTTTTCTTGAGTAATAAAGGAGCAATTTGTTTTTGTATTTGTGTATTTTGTAATTTTATGACTACACTGTGGTGTGCGGTAATTCTTCTTACACAATGCAAGTGATGGGTGTGGGTGGGTAATACATCAGACAGCATGAGCTGAACATTGTTGTATAGTTTTCTATTATAAATTGTAGAAAGCATAACAAGAAAAAGAGTTATTTCACCAGCTTCCATGAGACAGCAACTTGTTTGCCAGAGCAGAAAAATGATCAGATAATAATAATACATCAGTTTTATATAGCGCTTTTCAGGACACTCAAAGATGCTTCACATGTCATTATTCTTTCACTCCATACACTGTGGTGATAAACTACAAGTGTTGCCACAGCTGCCCTGGGGCACACTGACAGAAGTGAGGCAACCAGTCTGTGCCATCACCCCCTCCGACCACCACCAACCATTCACTCACACATCAGACTCATTCTAGGCAATGTGGGTAAAGTGTCTTGCCTAAGGACACAACAACAGTTCGGCACTTTACAGCCGCAGCCGCCCCACTGTGGCACCTGGTGTTCTCGTCTCCCATGGTTTATAACTGATTTAGCTTTGATGTGGACTTTGGTCACTTTATTTTGAATAAAACAGAACATAGTTGTTGAAGTTATTTCTCCAAACAGCACAAAGTATTTGCTGGGGCAGTTTCTTGTGAGCCTGTGTTACTCTCTCAGAACTGTCGTCAGAGCCTTGGATTTAAATCACACACAAATAAGAAGTATAGACCCTTGCCTCATTCTGCTGATAGAATCATGTTGAGAGCCAAACCACCATATGGACACGGTGTATGTCTGCTTTTTTGAAACACCTATAGATGTTTTATACATTTCTAAAATATATGTAGATCGGTGCTCTACTTTGACTCATCTTCTAGTACCACTGGAGGAGCTTTGGAGCCTGAAGAGTCCTCTTTTCTAAGAACATGTTAGTGATGGAGGGAAAGCACAGAAGTTTAGGAGTAATAGAGTTAATTTGCTGGTTTATCACAAGACAGGAAACACCATATGCAATTCCAAGTCTGTCATTGGGTATAAGGGCTTATTTGAAAAGACTAAACAACCATCCAACCCACAATCATTGGATTGTATGAAGGGCACACATATTTGCCATAAGGACGGTGTTAATTTTGTGGGCTCCTCAACACAGTGAAATCATCTGTTGATCTTGTAACCCAAGGCTTTTCAGTAACAAGCAGCAAATGTGGCTGAACAGTTCTCAAAGACTCAATGTGGAGATTATTTCTCTTGGCCAGTCTTGTGTCTGTGGTGTGGAGAATGTACTTCATGCTCTGGTCACCCTGGCGACATTAAAAAATGCATGATTGGAAATTTTAACCATTTCTGAACCACGCAGTTAAGTTTGCCTCGCACCGGGGCGTTTGTCGATTGCCTTCACAATCCGTGTGGCAGTGGGAGGTTGAGGCACGATGTGGTGGTGGGTCCTGGGTGTGCTGAGCTGCCTCCTGCTGGCTGGAGTGGTCCTCTTCTTCATCACCACCGGGCGACGTTACAAAGTCTTCAGTGAGAAATGTCTGAGGCCTCCAGGAGCTCTGGTCATCGACAGCAAGCAGAGGGACGAGCGGCTCAAGAGGGGTGAGTCCTGTTCACAACACTCTCAATCTGAATCTGTGTATTATTAGGGTTAAAAGCGTCTCAATTCCATTTAAATCCATTCATTCTTCATTAAAAGCATGAGTTGATTTTTGATTGAGGCATTTCAGTCTTCAAATAAAGCTTTGTTATTGTTTCAGACTGATTCACGAACAAACACAGTACATCACGATCATTGTCATTAATTCATTATAGTATGTATTTTCATTCGTTCACTTTTGTTCATCAAAGCGTAATTTAAATGTTTTTTTAAAAAAATTATGTTGGCACATCATATAAAAAAATGTATCATGTTTGTATTACAATATTACACTGGGTACAATTAAACACGGTTTCACTACTTTGTTATTCTTTCTCACATTTTCTTGGAATTTCCAAGAAAATGTGCAATTCCACTAAATGTTCATTAATTCAAGTTACTGTGGCTAATAATATACTATATATATTATAAAACACATTGTGTTGTTGTAATGAGGGATAATATTGAATTACTTTAAATCTTGGACATTAACTAATAAATGTTGTGATGAATTACTCTCGACATTGATCTGCAGTTAAAGTCTTTAGTTCTTTAGTAGTAATTAGACATGGGAGAGATGGGAACATTGATCAGTGATGATAAAGCTACACTTTTTTGATTAATGACTTTCTATTAATGATAAATTAAGTACGTTATCAAGATGTAACACCAGTTAAATGTCTTTTTTCCCAACAGGTTTCCGAGTCGAACGGGTGCCGCCCTCCCTGGATGCCATTGTGATTGGCAGTGGAGTGGGGGGGCTGACGGCGGCTGCTCTACTGGCCAAAGCTGGGAAGAGAGTGGTGGTTTTGGAGCAGCATGACCAGGCTGGGGGCTGCACCCACACCTTTGAGAACAAGGGCTTTGAGTTTGATGTTGGTAAGAGAAAACAATAAGCAATTAGGATAATAGCAAGACAGCAATTTGTCACAGTTAGTTTAACTTATGCCTTTTCCTTTTTGGCCCTGAGGAATCCACTACCTGGGCCAGCTCCACCAGAACAGTTTGCTGAAAGTGGCTCTGGACCAGATCACAGACGGACAGCTGCAGTTCCAACGACTGGAGCAGCACTTTGACACTCTGATCCTGGGTCAGGCTGAGGAGCGCAGGTAAGATCACCAAACAGAGATCCTGCAACATAAATACTAACATTTCATACTGTAAATTGTAATTGATTTTATAGGGAATACCACATTCATGCTGGAAAAACTGAGATGGCAGAAAGTTTGAAGAAACAGTTCCCTGGAGAGGAAAAGGCAATTGATGAGTTCATGAGACTCATGAAGGTACTGTTGCAGATCATAGCAAGTAAAATTAGATTACTGTTTTGAATGTATATGGTGTACCTCAAGGCTCGTTGCTTGGTCCATTAATCTTCATCCCCTAATGCTATATGAACTATAGTTCATATACTAGTTGAACTATATGAAATGGAGTGTTCATTTTTTTGTCTTGCAGTTGGCCTCAAAAAGAACTCCTTTAATTGCCATACTCAAAATAATTCCATACTGGTTGGTAAAGTTCCTTGTTCAGACTGGCCTACTGGACCGTATTTCATCTGTGTTCAGTCTTGCAACAACCAACCACTCGGAACTCATGTCAAAGCTCACACAAAACAAAGACTTACAAACTCTCTCTGCATATCTCTTTTATGGTGAGGAGGGTATACTTACAAGACATATACAAACTGCTGCAGGTTGGTGTAAAACTCCTAATTTTTTCATAGGTGTCCCTCCAAAAGACTCCAGTTTTCTCATTAATGCTCTCCTGCTTCATCACTACAAGCGTGGTGCGTACTATCCACGAGGCGGGTCCAGTGAGTTTGCCTTCAACATCATCCCTGTCATTCAGCGGTCAGGGGGAGCAGTGCTTGTCAGAGCCCCTGTGCACCGCGTCCTGATCAACAACCAAGAAAAAACCTATGGTAGGATGGCTTTTGGCAAACTTTATGAACATCCAAAAAAAGTTTTATTATTTTTTAACCCTAACCAATTTTAACCCTTAAACCTTTTATGAGTAAATGGTCGTTGTTTCAAATCCTGTTCCCAAAATGAACATTCTTGGTCTGATCCACTGGCCCTTAGGTTGGCACTATGACTCTAATGATGCATATCTGTGGAAGACCTCCTCAAATCCCATGCTACCTGCTTTTCAATTCAATTTAATTCTGCTTCATTACAATTGTTAGACCACATTAAAAACAGACACAAAAGACAATGATAAACAAACAGTTATGCCTAAAAGACAGTTATACCAGTGTCTCCACATCCTGGCCTGATATCGAGTTGGCACTGAACCTGAACGCCAATATTATTTTATATCCTGATTAATTTATTCATTAGGGTCCTCAGCACAGCACAAGTGTTCATTTGTGAGGTGATAAACTCTTTTGTAGTTAGTTCAGAGGTGGTTCATGTACAGCAGTGTAAAGAAAGACTTAAACAGTTTCAACTTGTCATCAAGCGCATGCTGCATTCTAAATTGGCTGTCATTTATTCCTATTTCATCCATATGATTATAATGTATACAATGCTTGTACATAACAGGAAGAACAACCTGTAAAATAGTGGGACAGATGCCTTGTAAGATGTCCCAGAGAGGAACCCAAATGCTTGTATAGAAATTTATGAATGAATGTATAAATTTGTGATTGTTTTCATCAAGATTTTTATCCCAGATGTAATTGAAATACTTCTGCTGCAGGTGTAACAGTACTCAAAGGCAAAGAAGAGATAGAGATCCATGCGCCTGTTGTAATTTCCAATGCTGGAATCTTTAACACGTTCCAGAAGTTTTTACCGAAGCACATTCAAGAGAAACCAGGTCCGCTACTATTGTTTACCAGTCAATTCATCTATTGTCTTATTAATAATTAAGTGTTTGTGTAGAAATAGAGTCATTGCTTGGAATGGTGCGGCATGGAATGGGTTCCTTCTTGACCTTCGTTGGTTTGGATGGAACAAAAGAAGAGCTGGGAATTGTATCCACCAACTTTTGGATGTATAAAGACAACAACTTGGATGAATTGTAAACCTAAACTGTAGTTTGGCCTTCGTCAATAATTCCGATATAGTCTTTCAAGCGTTCAATACATTTTTGACAAAAACATGTATATTTTGGGGCTCAATTTAAATTGTCTTTTATCTACAAATACAATGGAGAGATTTTGCAATTTTCTTCACCACAATATTACTATTTAGTTGTAGAGGGTTTGATATAGCTAATTATCAATAAATTCTGCTTGAAAGTTGCATTACTGTGACGATCCCACTTTAATGTACTTTCAACAGTTGCAGCCAACATATTTCTGAACCAATATATTTCCATTTCAATTGAGTTTTTAATAAAACAAATTATAACACAAAAGTCTTAAATAATGAAATGTCAGTGACATTTCATTATTTAAGACTTTGCTTATACTGTTAAGCCTTTAATTTAGTAGTGAGTTTTTAGAAAATCCCACACAGGAGTGGACAGAGACAGAAGTAATAAATGAATGGAATTTTCATGCCATTAGTCATGCATCAGGTTCACGGGACAAACAGTCCTGAGAAAGCTTCTTTAAACAAGTTGAGCATGTCTTTTTGGCACCATCAAGATAAATTAAATGTCTTTCCTGTCATATGGCATGGTGGCTGTGGGTTTGATCACGTCCAGTATACGGGCCTTTCTGTGTGGGGGGTTTGGATGTCTCTCCCTGTGCCTGGGTGTGTCTCCTCTGGTCCCTGGGTGCTGCACCGAGGCGACCCCTGCTCCCTCACTGCAGCTTTTCCTTGAGGCATTGAAGGATGGTTCAATTGCAAACTACAAATTTCCCTTCAGGGATAAATAAAGTGTATCTTAATGATGTACATTGTGCTCTCTGATAAATCAGGATGGAGCGGTATTCTTCTCTAAGCCGTGACGAGGTCCTAGGCAACATCCCTATGATGTTTATCACATTCCCATCTGCCAAAGACCCCACATCCAACATTCGACATCCAGGTATCCCCAAAACATTCAAATGTATTTCATTTACTAGTCGTGATTTCTGTGACTCTTTTTCAATAGGCAAATCCTGCATGACACTGTTAACCATGGCTCGATATGAGTGGTTTGAAGAATGGAAAGACACGAGGCTGGGTAAAAGAGGGCAAGACTATCAGGATCTAAAAAACAGCATGGCACAGGAACTGCTAAACTGGGCATTAACTATATTTCCTCAGCTGAAAGACAAGGTGTGTGTTTGCATTTGTTTTCTTTGTTTATGTCATTGTGTTGTTTTCATCAGGTTACACATGTGTTACATACGTGTTACACATATAACTTGTTACATTTACAACATAATAAGATTTTTGTTGCGTGTTTCCCCCATTATTGTCTCTATCTGTGAAAAATTCTTGAAATGTTAAACTGAACTCAACCTTTTATGCATTTGAGAAGTAAATTACTGATTATATTAACAGTTCCAAGTTAAGGGAAATCTAACTTATTTTTTGTTGTCCCCAAAATTACAACAGCAATATAAAGAAAGACGTTGCGGATGAATCAGATAACAACATCTTTCAGGGTCAAATAAAGAAAACACGATATCTTTAGTTGACCCTGATTGCCAGAGTCCTCCCTTTTTCACTTTTCTCTCATTACAAGTTGATAGAAGTTTACATTCATGTTTTATACCTGTATTTTTGGTCACTACAATGACATTTAACGTGAAACCCTGTGTACTGTTGACCGTAGGTGGTGATGGTTGACGCCGCCACCCCTCTCACTAATGTGCATTATCTGGGCGCCCCGAGAGGAGAGATGTACGGAGCTGAGCACAACCTGGAGCGTTTCAGCCCAAACACTGTGGCCAGAACTAGACCCCAGACCCCAGTGGAGGGCCTCTACCTGACAGGTCACTGCCTCACACACACATGGGGGGATGAAACTTCTCACTGTTGAATTTTAAGGCTTTATAAGGCCGCTCAGAAGAGTAAATGTAGCAACAATCACTTCCCTGCCGAACGGAACTTTTCAAGAGATCCTTTGTTCCTTCGGCTGTCAGACTTGATAGATAGACAGATAGATACTTTATTGATCTCTGTAGGAGAAATTCACGTGACCAGTAGCAGAAAAAATGAGAAATAAAAATTATCCTTTTAAAAAGCTAACAATAGTGATGATCAGCAATAGCCCTTCAGGTCACAGCAGCAGAGGTAGAGTAGCCTCTTCAGGTCACAGCAGCAGAGGTAGAGTAGCCTCTTGGTTCAGACCATTTTCTCTGCTCTAGTCCAAAGTAAAATGCTAACAGCACAACAGACCTGAATGAGTCTTCTGCTGCTGGACACCTGAATTTCTCCTACGGGGAATCAATAAAGTATCTATCTATTTATCGTTAGTGGTTGTGTGACATATGTTGTCAAATAAACAGCATTGAACCAATCTGTGGAGATGTCAAATCTACTGTTCATCATGCGAGGCAGCCCAAGAATTAACAGGAACTGCAGGCTTTTTTCAAGAAGAATGGGCAGCTTTACCATCAGAGTGGACACAGAGCCTCATCCACAACAGCCTCAAAAGACTCCTAGCTGTCATTGATGTTAAAGGGGAAATACACCGGGGGATGGAAACTTCTAATCAGGGTCATGTGAGCCGATTCTATATTACTTTCAAACAGTACTGTACATGTTTGTCCTGTGCTCTCCCATACAGGTCAGGATGTCTTCTGTAACGGCATGGCTGGTGCTCTTCACGGGGGACTCCTCTGTGCTTCAGCCGTTCTTAACCAGATCCTCTACATCGATCTTTTGGCCCTGAAAACCCGCCTCAAACAGGAGCAAGCCAATAAGAAACCAATAAAATAGAAGCCGTCGACAAAGTTCATGTTTGTATAATTTTGGCTTTCAGTTTGTTCTGATGTCTAAGGTAATGGTTGGGGTGCTAATGGTGCTAAGGCTAATGGGTAACGTTTCAGAATTAGGATGCAGTGATGTTTTGTCTAAGATTGTGAAATGTATCAGATGACTTTGAGCAGCCAGGCCCTTCAACATTTTGACGTATATGTTCAAATGCCTTTCAAGATAATGAATAATTATTGTAGAAAGTAGTTCTGGCTGGTCAGGCAATTGGATGATTGTGATGCCATGTTGTTTGGGTTAACTAATTAAGAGATTGAATGTGACAGAAGGTGGTTATTGGTGTATTGTTGGTAAAGTTGTGAATAAAAAGTATATGGCTTCAAATGTCTCCTGTGAAGTCCAATGATAGACAACAACAATGCTGGATCTTAGGTGCAATTGTGTTTATTTGTTGCACATAAAGCCGTCACAACAGTAACAAAAACAGATAAAGACAAGGAGGATATTGCATTAAGATGGAATGAAGGACGTGAAACCAGAAACAAAATCAAAAGTGAATGTTCAAACAAACGTCTCTCCTGTGTAACACACTGTTGCTGGGGTGGTTTGTACTTTCTACAATTATTTAAGTATTTACTTTCAAAACAGATGAATAACAGTGTCTTAGTCCGTCTCTCACTTTTTAAGGTACAATCAGACTTCAGATGTTCCGTGACCAGATATGTGTTGTTTAGTCGAGGGTATAGTTCATTTCCGTGTTACATGCACATGGAACTCTCATGCAGTGTTGCCGTCACATATGTACATTTACATTTACTTGCGGTTTAGTTTCACTTACTTCAATCTTCATGATTGGAGTGCAACAGTCCGACATGTTGGCCCTGACAGTTACAAAGTCACTGACGTGTGTGATACCGGGCCCTTTAGCCTTTTCTCTGCTGAATGGCGGGCCAGTCAACTTAGACATCTGGCGAAAAAGCTCTTTGTTGCACTCTGTACCGACGTCTACAACTCCCACTGCATACGCAACAGCTTTCAAATTAAGATCAAATGGCACTTTGTACATGACGGCCATTGTGCCGGTGGATTTCTTGGTCGAGTTGTTGTACAGGTCATAGGTGAAGACTCCGACTGCACCTCGCGCTGTGTTTGCCGTCTTTATGAATAAACCACTTCCAGATGAAGATACGTCAATGGTGGGAGGTAAAGGGTCTAAACACTTGCCGCTCTCTATATACTCCCTGCAGAAGAAACAAAACAAAAGTGAGGCATTTGAAAGTCCACAAGCTGTCAGTGGTCGCTTACCTGGGATAACACAGGGTGTAACTGGAGCAATTGTTGGTAATGTTCACAGAGCACCTTCGATCTGTAGGTGAAACTTTAGCAACTCCTATACCAACGGACAATCCAATATAATAATAATAATACTAAACTGGAGCCTATGTCCAATACTAGACTAGCTAAATCCATCTAACTGAGAGGTGAGTCCCTGGGGGCTGAGAACCACAGAAGATCAGAGGAAGTGAGAGTTTAACCTGCTGCTGCGGCTGTCACTGTCTCAGTCAAGAGTGAGCCACTGCTGAGTCCTCTGGCTTATTAAAACCTCCATCTCCGGTGAACAAAATATGTACTCTGGAATGTTTGGTATGCAAGTTCCAATTAATACAAGGACAAAGTCAACCGACACAGTGTGTGTGTGTGTGTGTCTGAATTGAAGAAAACACAATCATTATTTGTTTTCTTAGGTTTTTTTCATAAAAAATGCTGCATGAATGACGTGTTGGTGTGAGTCAATCAGTTAAAATGATATTAATAAAATATACTACATTACAGGAGGAGGCTCCCCTCCTGAGCATTGTTTCACAATCATTTCTCAGTAAAGCTGGACTTACTGCCCCACTCTCTCCTCAACTCTGGGACAACATAGAACGTGAGCTGCACTAGCATCTATCCAGGACTATAACTTCTCAAACAAATACATAAATCAATAATAAACTCGTAAAGCCATCAAAACAAAGTGAAAATGATGTGCACTATAGTGACTCATGATGATCTATTTTGATGCAGTTTTGTTTATCTGTACCTTGGTGACCTGCCCCTTTTCAAAAGGAATTATGAAAATATTAATGCTTGGTGAGAAAATAAAGAAAGTAATGTAAAGCAGGTAAATAAAAGAGAAAACAAATTAAGAAATAGATATTTCAATGCAGACAAGAAAAATAATAATAAAGTTGATTATTACGTAGTTTCAATTGTGTTTTTTTTTTTTCATTCTTAATCCATAAGTATTTGACATTTGACAATTGTGCAAGTTTTCCCACACAAATTGAAAGGGGACTTCAACTTCATCTTCATCATAGACACACTCGATGTAAATCACATGATTCATAAGCATTTTATTTGTATAATGGATCAGAAAATAAGTGTTTGACCAATAACAAAAGTTCCACTCAATGCGTTGTAATGTCTGTTCAACGCAGCGTCCGAACCGCTTCCAACTTTTCTGAATCAATGGTTGGAATCTATCAAACCAACGTTTCACCCGCTCTCTACACTTCCTCCAGACCCCCATCAGGTTAGTGTGTCTTTAGCCTCCTCTGATCCAGGCTTAAGCAGGGCCGACATTGTCAGAGTGAGTGTGTGGGACTGAGCCTGGTTTGTGGAGCTGAAATGTCAATGAGCAAGATCTGACTTTTGAACCCAGCTTTGAAAGTAAGCTGCTCTCGATGGTTTAGGGCAAGACTTAAACAACTAATACAAAACCAGTGTTCATATATACAATCACATTATCAGCTTACAATGAGCAAACAAATGTATTGTTCACAAATTAAAATTCTATGATTTAGTTGTTCTTCACACTTTGATAATAATGTTTTAAATATTTTGATGCAGTAAAGAATTTTGTTAGCTTAGCCGTAGCATCCGACTCATAACCATTTATTTGTTGAGGTTGCATGCTTCTGGTAATTTTCATTCCCATTTGAAAGGACATAATAACTTGACTATTTTTGGGGTTTAGGGACGTTTCCCAACAGTATTTAAAAAATATTCCGCTGGATAAATCAATGACTGCATCTTTTTAAGATGAAAAATGACCTGTCAAAACCACTACAGAAACTGTTCACAAAAACAGTGATAATGTGTTGAGTGGAACAGACAAGTTCCAAATGCAAAAATTTAGAACTTATGTAATGAAATGTTGTTTAAAGGGGTTGATATCTGGAATATATGCACAGATTAACTTGAATCATGTAATTCATTGTTTCACTTTAAAAATAAGTTTAAAACTATCATTTTGAACGGCTCAGAATCTTTATGGTTATACAGTTGCTTATGTAAATCCTATTGTGTCCACTTATACTAACTTGGACTGAAGCTAAAATATGCATTTGCTTCCTTTCGGTCTTTCTTTTAGCTATAAATTTACTGTTCTCTAACAATGTGTAAAATTGTACAAGTGACTGAAAATAAACTTCAAATGTCAAAACTTGAAGTAGACATCCCTCTGGACATTCCATTCAGGTAAGACACAGTGAAAACATTTTGTGTCCAAAAGGTTCCATCCTGTAGCTTCAAACGTCGGTGAATAAGCAGCAGTTATAGAAATCCGTTACTTATCAGTCACTTCAATCTTCAGGACAGCCTTGCCACTGTTGGACATGCTGGCACTTATATCAACAAGTTCACTCTCAAACTCGATGCTGGAGCCATTAGCTTTGGCTCTCACAAACGTGTCCTCCGTCTTTGAAAACATGCTCTCAAACAGACGTTTGTCACACTTTGTGTCCATCTCGAAGAACCCAATGGCAAACACAATAGATTTGAGATTGAGGTCAAAAGGCACTTTGTAAAGAGCAGCCATCTTCCCCAAATACTGGTTTGTGTCCGGATCGTACAGGTTGTATGTGAGGACTCCCGCAGCCCCTCGCAGACCATAGGGAGATTTTGTGAAGAGCCCCTCTCCACATGAGGATGGTTTGATGGAGAGGGTCAAGGGTGTTTTACAGACTCCAGTGTCATTAAACACGCTGGAACAGAGCAAATGTATGTGTGGCTTCAGATAACTATGAAAACAAGCTGCCTGTCATCTAAGTTATGCTGCCTTGTCTTACCTTGGGTTGCGAAGAATATAACTTGAGCACTGATTGGAGATTTCAACAGAGCACTCTCGATCTTTTGGGAGAAAACTTGAGAAGAACTTTTTTACTCCTACTGCTGCATCCACAATATCTCCTAGATCGTTTGCAATGTCTCCCACTTCCTCTAATGTCTCAGCAAGGTTGTCTTCCTCCTCCATCTTTGTGCCTGCCATCCAGAACAAAGTTACAATCTTAAAGAACATTCAACCACAACATGCTACTTTACCTTGATGTAGCTCTGTCCAGAGTGACAGACGCAGCTGGGAGGTTTCTCCCTTTATGATAATGTCTGAATCAGTTCCCGTAAGCGATATAATATCCCAGATTAAATCTGGCCATATTTTATTGGCCTAGTCACACATTAACTACCTTGAATTGTGTTAATGTAAAAATCATTAATGAATTTGTTGTAGAAATTCTGCACAGGCCAACGTCTGAACAATGGAAACAAATAAGAGCTGTAATGCAATCCGTGTGAGTTCATTCATCAGTAAATGTGCAGATATACTATGAAAATCAGAGATGGCTGCATCTCTGATCAGTCTTCTCCTTGTTTGAGATGAAAGTTTGGAGGGAGGGCCTGGTCTTGGTACAGTGCCTTGCGAAAGTATTCGGCCCCCTTGAACCTTTCAACATTTCGCCACATTTCAGGCTTCAAACATAACGATATAAAAACATTATTTTTTGTCAAGAATCAACAAGTGGGACACAATCGTGAAGTGGAACGAAATTTACTGGATAATTTAAACTTTTTCAACAAATAAAAAACTGAAAAGTGGGGCGTGCAATATTATTCGGCCCCTTTGCGCTAATACTTTGTAGCGCCACCTTTTGCTGCAATTACAGCTGCAAGTCGCTTGGGGTATGTCTATCAGTTTTGCACATCGAGAGACTGGAATTCTTTCCCATTCTTCCTTGGAAAACAGCTCGAGCTCAGTGAGGTTGGATGGAGAGCGTTTGTGAACAGCAGTCTTCAGCTCTTTCCACAGATTCTCGATTGGATTCAGGTCTGGACTTTGACTTGGCCATTCTAACACCTGGATACGTCTATTTGTGAACCATTCCATTGTAGATTTGGCTTTATGTTTTGGATCATTGTCCTGTTGGAAGATAAATCTCTGTCCCAGTCTCAGGTCTTTTGCAGACTCCAACAGGTTTTCTTCCAGAATGGTCCTGTATTTGGCTCATCCATCTTCCCATCAATTTTAGCCATCTTCCCTGTCCCTGCTGAAGAAAAGCAGGCCCAAACCATGAGGCTGCCACCACCATGTTTGACAGTGGGGATGGTGTGTTCAGGGTGATGAGCTGTGTTGCTTTTACGCCAAAAAGTTCGATTTTGGTTTCATCTGACCAGAGCATCTTCTTCCACATGTTTGGTGTGTCTCCCAAGTGGCTTGTGGCAAACTTTAAACGAGACTTTTATGGATATCTTTGAGAAATGGCTTTCTTCTTGCCACTCTTCCATAAAGGCCAGATTTGTGCAGTGCACGACTGATTGTTGTCCTATGGACAGACTCTCCCACCTCAGCTGTAGTTATCTGCAGTTCATCCAGAGTGATCATGGGCCTCTTGTCTGCATCTCTGATCAGTCTTCTCCTTGTTTGAGATGAAAGTTTGGAGGGACGGCCGGGTCTTGGTAGATTTGCAGTGGTCTGATACTCCTTCCATTTCAATATAATTGCTTGCACAGTGCTCCTTGAGATGTTTAAAGCTTGGGAAATCTTTTTGTATCCAAATCCGGCTTTAAACTTCTCCACAACAGTATCTCGGACCTGCCTGGTGTGTTCCTTTGTCTTCATGGTTCTCTCTGCGCTTTAAACAGAACCCTGAGACTATCAAAGAGCAGGTGCATTTATATGGAGACTTGATTACACACAGGTGCATTCTATTTATCATCATCAGTCATTTAGGACAACATTGGATCATTCAAAGATCCTCACTGAACTTCTGGACTGAGTTTGCTGCACTGAAAGTAAAGGGGCCGAATAATATTGCACGCCCCACTTTTCAGTTTTTTATTTGTTAAAAAAGTTAAAATTATTCAATAAATTTTGTTCCACTTCACGATTGTGTCCCACTTGTTGTTGATTCATGACAAAAAATGAAAATTTTATATCTATATGTTTGAAGCCTGAAATGTGGCGAAATGTTGAAAGGTTCAAGGGGCCGAATACTTTCGCAAGGCACTGTATTATTAAGAACTCACACACACGCAGACGCACACTTACACGCTCTCGCACACACACACACACACACATACAGCAGTAAAACAGTAAGACCTTGAAGAGAGACGTGGCAGGGTTCAGATGTGACCAGCTGAAGAAGCGTCATCTAAGGAGCTGTCTGCACCAGGAGCAGAGAGCCGCCCGTAGCCACAGGGGACAGGGGACGACACAGGGGATGACACAGGACCCACAGGAGATACAAAGCTGAGGCTCCAGGCCCCCACCAGGCCCAAGAGCCAGACCCCAAGACCCAGAGGAGACATGAAGCCGAGGCTCCAGGCCCCTATCTACTCCAGACCACAATCAAACAATCAAAATGTATTTATAAAGTGCTTTTCATGAGGAAAATGCAACACAAAGTGCTTTTTCAGAAAACACTGAGGACACTAAAGCAACATAATAAAAAGGAAAAAGTTTTTGCTGTATTTGAACCAAGAGTTGAGTATTACAGTTAATAACTTACTCTTATAAGTATTTAATGTCAAGTCAGATTTCTATACAGGTCAGATTTTGATAACAAGTTCTTATATATTGTTTATATAACTCTTGCCCATTAAAGGGACAAATCAGTCAATAAGTCACCTATCCATCTTAATTATTTTTTCCACAGAAACAGAAATAATATCAGTATTTTATTATTGTGTTGTGGTGTACAAATGTCTTCCTCTCAGTTGTGACGGAAAATCCATGTGTTCAAGAAAGTGAGCAGATAGAAACTGCCAGCCGAGTGTTGTGGTGCCAACAAACCTGTGACTTTCCTGTCACTGGAGTTAGTCTCTGTGACGGTAAGTACGAGTGACACGCCCAGACATTCTTTATCTTTAGATGAGGAACAATCTTGAAATTTACAGTAAAAACCAATCCTTCTTCAGGGCATAAAGGTGTAGTTAAACCTTGAACTTATTCTTTATCTTTAGTTTTAGTTTCAATTTTCCCTTTTTCTTTTTCTTTTCAACAAGTGCAAACAGTCATACTTTGAATAATAGAATTATCATTACAAATCAAACTATATATAAATATACAAGTTCAGTGATCAGATGAAGTGTTCTTATACCTATGCACTTTTACCTTGTTACGACCACTGTGTGAAAGACCAGCTCAAAGTAACACACCAATTACAATTATACAATTATACTGATACATTACTGTTTTGTGTTTTGAAAAAGTGTTTTAAGTGCAAGAGAAAAGGCGTGGTCTGGTTGGACAAATGTCAACCTAATTATAAAGTAGAGTTCACCTGAGAGTAATCTAATCTCAGTACATTACAGCTGCTCTATGATGGCCTTAATGGTTTGATTACAGTAATCTTATAATGGTCATGAATCAGCATCATCATCACCAAGTCCAAGAAAGTCACGAGAAGTCATGGATGGAGCTTGGGGGAAGTTTAAAGCATGTTTCGTTTTTTTTTCAAAAAAGAAAGGAAAAAATGTAGGTCTCCAGAGGTATAAAGCTGGAAACGTGAAATGAAAATGTGCACTTCATTGTCCCCGTAGGGAAATTTGTCCTCTGCATTTGACCCATCCTGATTCCTCTGAGGCTTATGTCAGGAGCAGTGGTTGCTATAGTGCAGCGCCCGGGGACTGATCTCAAGATGTTGGAGGAAACCTACGCAGACACGGGGAGAACATGCAAACTCCACTCAAAAAGGTCCTGGTCCGACCGGAAGAATAGTAAGAGAATGGTGGAGATATATATGCATTAACTATTTTGATTTATTGTTACATTATTAGCTTGAATATGCATGTTTATTGTAATATTAATTAATATCAATACAGAAAAAAGTTGTATGATTTTTTGCTTTTTTTCAGGATAAAACTAAATTTCATTGTGAAAGCCATTGGATATAAATGTGATTGTGTCCGCCTTCTTCTTTTTATTTTTTTTTATCATTACAACATTTATGGCAAACTACAAATCTAATTTCCCAAATTGATAGTCAAAATACACAAATACAATAAATAACAAGACAAATCATGGCAAAATGAATAAAAACAGAGCATACAATAATTATGTTATAGGGTTTGAGTCTGAGTTTCACAGGGAGAGGAAGACAAATAATGATGCCTTATTTTGTTTTATTTATTGGTGTCTTTAAAAGAAAAGGGACTTCATAAGACCGCTGTAATTGGAGCAAAAGTGATTCACGTGTTGCCTTGATGAGTGTGGGGGTGTATACAGCAAGCCACAGTTGTCCTTATTTAAATTGTAAAGTAAAAACTTTGTGTTGGTCTTTTAAACAGAATGCCAAATAAAATGTTAACGTTTTTTTTGGTCAAGTTATTGGAACATGCATACGCTCGATCTAGACACTGTAGTATTAGTAGAGAACATCAATAGTAGAGAACAAGTTAGAAATGTTATACGTACTTCTCTATTATGCAAATGTCAGAGATTTTTCACCAAATTCTTGCTTCTTCATTATGCTATAGCTAGAGATGTCATATCTTTGTTTGCTAAAATTCAGATTTTATTTGAATTTTTTTAACACTGTAACTATCTGATGCACTAGCCAGACTCACTCTTCCATCACGTGCAACTTCATGACAGGGGTGTAACAGTCCGACATTGAAGCCAAGATGGAGAGATTTAACCCTTTGTACACGAGGGATGGTCCTTTGGCTCTCCCAGACACAAACGGGCCGATGTTTTTTGACATCTCTGTGTACAGCTCACAGTCACAGGGCCTGTTCACGTCAAAAAGGCCCACTCCGTACATTATGGGGTTCTTCTTCTTGTTAAAAGGGACCTTGAACATGACGACCACCTTTGCCAAAACGTTCCTGGCTGCATCGCACACATCATAGGTGAAGACTCCGGCCGATCCGTGAGCCCGATATGGCGTCTTGGAGAATTGAGCCGTGGCGGGGGTGGAGGGCAGAATGACAGGTGGAAGGGGAGTGGAGCAGTGTCCACTTTTGACAAACACACTGTCAAAATGGGAGAAGAAAATTCCTTTAGACAATTTGAATAAAAAATACATGTTGGAACGTGTTGGGTACACTGTAGAATTTACCACGGGTTGCAGAGAGAGTATGCTGAGGTGTCATTGGAGAGTTCCACACTGCATGCACGATGTGTTGGAATAACTTTAGCAACAAGTGAACCGATGGACAGCGATGTGTCGATGACTCCTCCAACAATGTCTGTAATATCCACAGGATCCATGGAAATATGTCTGTGAGAGTCGGTAGTGGCAGAAGACACAGGCTCAATATTAGTATCAAAAAAGTGAATGCCAATACCAATGATATTAGTCCAGTCCTCAGGTCTCTGCACTGGCTTCCTGTGGCTCAGAGAATAGACTTTAAAACAGCTCTGAGTGTGTACAAGTCTCTCCATGGCCTCCAAGACCAGGGACGGGACTCCTGCTGGTCAGAACTAAGCATGAGGAGGCTGCGTCACATATTCATGCAGCTAAAATCTGGAACAATCGGAAAATGTGAAACAGGCCTCTACTTTGACAATGTGTAAATCCAGGTTAAAAACAGTTCTGTTTAGCTTTGCGTAAAACTGAGGGATTTTATATTTGTGTCTTTCTTTTTAATGTGCTGATGATTTTAATACTATCTTGATTTGTTCAACACTTTGAGTTGCCTTGTGTATGAATTGTGCCATACAAATAAACTTGCCTCGCCTTGCCTATTATCAAATAATTGATTTACTGTTATTTCAATTCTTCACCTTTTCGGTTCTCTTGTGAAATAATCTGTTTTCTTATTCTTCATTGGTCTTGAAAAGCTATAGATTGTTTGAACTCTGCTCAATACTTCTTATTCACTTATATGAATAAAAAGTGATCATACAAAACACATCATGGTAAAACCTCTAGGCACACCTGGTGCCACAATGAGCCGGGTGAGGCTGCAAAGTGCTAAATTGCAGTTGTGTCCTTCAACACATTCATATTGCCTAGTACGAGTCGGGTCTGTGAGAAAAAAAAATTTGTGATGGGAGGAGCCAACGGCACGGACAAGTCAGTCTGCCCTGAGGCACCTGCGGCCACTGCAGATTTACCCAAAAGATCACATAACTACCACTATTATGAACTATTATAATGGTCAGAGGGAAAAATGTTTATGAATTAGATCTATGAACACACCATTTAAAGATTGGTTGTTTTAACCAACGTGACAAATAACTACCAATTTAACTGCATTTGCAATAATTAAACTGCATTTGCAATAATTAAACCTTTTTCCCATGAATTCAGAGAAAGAAGCAGTAGTTGCTGATGCATACCTTGGTTGTGATGCCTCTGTTGCTGCTTTCTGAATTGAAAACCAGGATGTGCAAGGTCTTTTAAAGAGGATATATTAGGAACCGGGGCGACAGTAGCTCAGTTGGTAGAGCATTGGCCTTAAGCCCAGAAGGTCGTGGGTTCAATTCCCACCTCTGCACCTTCTCCACCGACTCCCACTGATGACTGCTGTCGTTGTGTCCTTGGGCAAGACACTTAACCCCACTTTGCCCAAAGCCCCCACTGAAAGATCAAGGCTATGCTCACACTCAGAGAGCAGCCGTCCTCCTGTGGACTCACCACCTGCAGAGGGTCAGTGAGGGGCCGGTGCTATGAGACTTGGGTGGCATCTCTGATTGCCACCCCCCTGACCCAGAAATGGATTAAAGGGTAGAAAATGGATGGATGGATGGATGGATATTAGGAACCAGTTTTATCAGGGAATCTCCATCCAACCCAAACTCCCCTTGTCCACCTACACAAATCCTCAAAGTGCTCTGTGTCATCCAACGGACTGAACCCCTCCCTTTGCTCATGAAAGCAGGGCCTATTGCTGGTTTAATTTTGTATTGAAAAATGTCAAAGCATTTGTGCAAAGACATATCTATCTTTTCTTTTACTGTTACTCTTAACCTTCCAATTAATTGATTTTTTTGTATCTAATTTTGTAATAACAAAAAAAGAAGTTGCTGCTTAGCATCATGCAGGAATAAATTGTTGTCAAAGAAAAAAACCTAATCGGTGTGGAAATGCTCCTGCTTAAAAAAATACCAAAATATTGGTAAACCTTTTTTGATAAAAAGAAAGAAAAAAAAGAGGTTGCCTGTTAGAATATACTGTAGAGGCTTGAAAAGTATTAACACACATCAGAGGCACTTTCTAAATCAAATTTTATTGATTGATTCTTGCATGACTGCTTGCCAAGAGCAGAGCCAATAGATCGGTTTTGATTGTTGATACTAAACAACTGTTTTTAATTACACATTTTCCAAGTCTCATGACTCACATTCCTTAAAAGTGTGTTACTCAGTTTGAAATGAGTAACACACATTTAAGTCCAGATTTCATCATCTCATTTCATTCCTTCATAATTTCTTCCGATTAGCTTCTCGTAATGTTCCTGTCCTGACAGGTGTGCGACACACCCTTACAATAACCGTTCTTTGTGTTGCTGCTTCCTGATTATTCTTACGTAACAGTTCTAAATTCAATGTCAAATAAAGATAAAATAAGGAGAATTACACCGGGCATTAAATCATAAACAATAAAATCACCAGGTTTCCTCACTTCTGTCAGTGTGTCTCAGGGCAGTTGTGGCTACAGTTGTAGGTTATCACCACCCTGTGTAGGTGTCCAGAAAAGCAAGAAGCAAAGCAGTCAACATGTGGAGGAAGGTGCTGTGGTCAGATGAGTTCAGAATATTACTCTTTGGGACAAATCCAAAATGAGATGTGAGGCTCAAAACTAACACTGCTCATCCCCCTCAGTGCATTTCTTCAGCAGGTACTGGTGTCAGTTGAAGGAAAAGGTGGATGTAAAGGGGGAAAAAATGAAAAAAGACATTTATTGGGTGAAAATCTTCTGGAGCTAGAGATTCCACATAGCTTTAACTCAAGCTGTATGATTTATTTGTGCTAAACCCACTTTATTTTTGTTTAAAAACATAAGGATGTATAATTTTGCTTTCACTTGCTTTGTTCACTTTCGCAATGCCCTGCTGGCTTGAGACCAGAGAACGCAAATACTTGAAGAGCAGAGAAGCCAGCAGCAGAACGATAGAACTACAGACTCCGTCCGGGAGGGGGCAGTCATGTGTTTTGAGCTGACGGAAGTGAGGACACTCCACCGGAAACTTCAGACGCGAAAGGTGTTTGAATGATCATGTGGCTTTATTGACAAAAAGCTTTATCCCTAATTCTAATCGTATTTGGTTTTTTTGAGGGACATAATTCTCGATCAATACAAATATGTCCGACAACGAAGACAAGTGAGTGTTCAGGCCACATTTAATTCACTTTGGTCGACTGGAAATACAATCGTGTTTCGAGCATAGACTGTACATGGTTTTTGTGGCTAACAGTTAGCTTTGTACCTGTGTTGAACCTATTTAAGTTATAAATGTTTTGTGCTACAGTTTTGATGATGGAGATTTTGATGATGCTGAGGAAGACGAAGGGTTGGACGATTTGGAGAATGCTGGAGACGTAAGATTGTCCTTTCAGAGCGTTTAGAGCTAGACACGATCAGGATCAGGCTATTCTTCACATTGTTTTTCTAGAGTCTAGTTATTTCTGAAATGTATTTGCCAGTAGTGTGTTCCACAAATATTATGCAAAGTTGGGGAAATTACCACCGACTACTATCATAGCTTAACTGTTCCTACTTTATTGGTAGTTTAAAGTCAATATATTGTATAGCTCTTTATTAATCTACTTAATCTCCCACCATTGAGTATGATTCTTCAGCATTTAAGTACCACCTTCTAATCATGTAACCTAATTTATAGGATTTAATATACATTTGTAGTATAAAGTTGTTTGAATCTGTTTGTGGAAACAGGAGGATCAGGAGAATGTCCAAATTCTCCCAGCTGGAGAGGGTCAGCAAGCCAACCAGAAGAGAATCACTACCCCATACATGACCAAGTATGAGAGGGCCAGAGTACTCGGGACCAGAGCATTACAGATAGCGTAAGTGGAACAAGTATCCCTTTCAATGTTAAAGCGGATTCAAATTTGTCACTCTCCAAAAGTATTTTTTGTAATGAAATGGGAGATTTTTCAAGTAGTTTAAAGTCATTCAAATTGATGTGGTACTTCTAAACTCAATGTCACAGTTGCTTTTGTTGATCACTGCCAATAAAAACAAATGAAAGTAAATTGTGTATGACAAATAACTCCTTGTACCGTTTGAACAGTGAAAGTGCTCTCAGTAATCTGTTTTCTGGCCCAAAGGATGTGTGCCCCTGTTATGGTGGAGCTGGAAGGAGAAACGGACCCTCTGCAAATTGCTATGAAAGAACTTAAGTGAGTAGATGTTTTAGTAGAATCATAGAAGCGTAGTCGGCTGGAAATCCGAACAGACTTTTGACTACTTATCTTTATTATTTGTGTTTTAACAGGGGCAGAAAGATTCCCATCATCATCCGCAGGTATCTTCCTGATGGCAGTTATGAGGACTGGGGATGTGATGAACTCATTATAACAGACTGAACTATCAAAACCATATGTTTCCTAATTTATATGCCCCCTGTGGATTAGCAGCTTTCTTTCATCTTTTACATGTTCTTGTTTTATTTTGTTCGCGTATTAGTACGTTATCTAATACGCCATTAGGTGGCCCAACTTGTCAGGTGTTATAAATCCCACACAATGATGTTAAACCATTAGGTGCTAGGGTTTTTGGCAAACATTTGAAACTTATAAGAGATGAGAGAACTACTAAAACCAATAACAGAAATAAGTAAATCAATCATTTATTTGTATTGCACAATTCGTGTACAAGGCAATTCAAAGTGCTTCACAAGAGAAATGAAGAAAAACCACAGATCAAAATGCATTAAAAAGTCAAGCAGTAAAAGTAAACAAAAGAAAAAAATAATAACAATTTAGGGAAATGTTTTTGGGAAGCCAGATCACTGGCAAGTGTTTTTTGCTACTAAAGGGCCTAAAGGATGTGTGGATGATCCAGTAGAACACTTGAATGAGGTGGATCCCCTTGGAGAACGTTAGTCAAATGTATCGATCATTTAACTGTTCTATAAATACACTTATGTGCCACAAGGTGGCAATATAACATCACTTGTATGGTGTTTTTATGTTGTAAAATTAAAATTTTGTATGAAAAACTAAGCATTCGCGGTATTGATTTATTTTTTTCATGTATGTGTATATATATATATACACATTGTGTGTTTATGTGTATGTATACGTCTCCCTCAACCTAACTTCAGTTCACATGGTTTAAGGTATAAACAGATTCATTAGAAATTGATAATTTGGTGCATAGAAGAGCTCTAACATTAATTTGCATTGTAGAAGACAGCCACAGGCTGTTGGTCCACCAGTTTCTTTGCAAAGGCTGAGTTCTCAGCAGCTATAGCCTCAGTAAGGCTTTCCCAACTCCTTGATGTTTACATAACATATTTATCAGATCCTGCTCTCAGACAACACCTGCTCCCCTTTATATCACAGTGGCTGAGAGTTCAGTGCTTCACAGCAGGTTGTAGGTGCCATCCTGTGTCTGGGTGGGTTTCCCCCAACACTAAAACATGCACCATGGAGAAAATCCTCCAGCTTGTAACTCTGACCAAGAGCATCAGTAACCGAAGATGAGTCCCTGCGCTGCACCGTGTGATGGGGTGAGTCAAATTCAGACGACCACTTTTCCTGTGTGAGAAAAAGTGTACCGTAAATATGACTTTAACCCTATTTACCAAAATTCTATCCAGACTAATTTTATTTTCCTCTGTGCACAGATTTTCACCTCTTACATGTATAGAGAGTAACTGAGTCGGAGGCCAAAACTACAGGGCCATATATTGGCAAAAAGTCCAGTCATTTGTTAAATAACCTTGTGACCGTTGCCCTGTATGGATAACAATACTCCTTATGCGTATCCCCAACACTCACTATAGTAACATATGACCATGTTTAACATATTTGTTTTAGTTTCCAATATTAGTCATGTTATTGGTTTAAAGCGAAATACATTTAAATTAAATAAATGACATGTACATGCATGATTACAACATAAACATGGTGGATCTAATGCCTTTTGTACAGCTCAAAAAAAAAGTCATGCATTTTAACATAGGTCTTATTTGCACATCTGCTCCAAACAACAACACATGATACTCCAGTTCAAGACCCTCCTGTCGCTTCATATCAATGGGCTTCTTTGTCCTCACAAAGTGTCACACTGTTGATTACAGCGAGAGAATTAGGAGTTAGGCTTAGCCCCAAAGTGTATACACTGTGCGAAACACCACTTGTAAAATGAACTTAGAGCAAAGAAAAGTAGTTTCCAATTTTTTAGGTTTTAGTCCAGCCGAATAAGAGTTAGGCCAGAACTGAACTTAATTGACTCAGTGACTTTTAAGCAATAGCTAGATGAATGGAAATTCCATTACTAGGCGTTTACAGTTTTCAATTGGTTTGAACTATTCACCATAAATGAACATACACCTTAATTTTTTTAGACCTCTTCCAGTAACAGTTCTCCTATCCACTGAAGCTATCGAGTCTAGACCTTTTAGTAAGCGAGCCACTTCACCAGATGACCCAGTTGTAATTCTGTTTTGACTTCTGGTCTTTAAATATGAGGCATGCCATCTCCATATTGATTGATTGATTGACAGCTTGTGACACATTTGACAGAGCTGAAATAGGCTGAATGACAATAACCAATGTCAGTATCTACAAATAAAAGTTGGCTGGATGACACTGAACTTGTGTTTAAGATTGGTTACTATGGTTTAGCAAGGCAGAGGGCCACCACATTACACAGAGGGTTGCAGTTGGTGTTCACATTTAGGGCTAGGGCTTTTGTTATTTGTCAAATCTGTAAAGTTTGGGAAAGCCTGGTCTCAGATCTCCGGTACAAATACCCTCCCACTGTAGAGTACTGCAGTCTTGGTAGGTTAGTTTATAGCTTTACAATTGGCATTAATAGACTGTATACTATTCTTAAATGCATTAGGTGTAAAATGGTTAAGAAAAAAAACATGCTTTTCAGTTCAGCTTTATTTCAAGTGAAACGTCACATGTTAAGACTTTACTTTTTTAAGTGGCTGTTATACAAGATTGCAAAAACGATCCAAAGATTATAAACATATACCTTTTCCACATAAATGTATAGATACATGTTCAGCGTGTGGCGTTTGTGGAGTGGCTGGCAGTGCTGCATGCATAACATTTTAATGTGTAACAATGAAGTAGTGACTATATAGTTAAAATAGTGCAAGGAAAATAAAGATGGATAAATGTTAGATACATATTGGCGATATGCTTTATCATATCACTAGGCTTCAGTGCTTGAGCCTGAGCCCATCTTGCCATTCTTGCGCCGTCTTTGCTGATACTGTGAAAATAGTAGTAAATTATAGTTACCAATCCTTCACCTGTAAAAACACGTTGAAAGTGAAGAAAACAAGGAACTATCCAGGCACTCTAAACAAAAAGTGAGCTGCACAAGAAGTGTTCATTAAAAGGCTTTGATTCCACGGCCAAAGCCAACATGCTTCCACCTCAGTCTTCATCAGGGATTTCTGAATGTAGTTTAAAGCTGGGAGAAATATGATTCTGTTTCACTCTTATCTTAAAATCTTTTAAAATGTTTAGCAAATGTTTAGCTTAAATTTGTGCCGACTGTAAATGCAGTTTGAGATTGCAAGCTATGACTTTACATAGTACACGCAGCTTTGAATCTACATCTTTGATCCACACAGTGTTGACATGCTCCACTCCATGGCCTCCTCTCTGTCCTTACATCAGGCTGTTCAAAGCGTTCAGTGCTGAGAACCGGACCTGGACCCTCTGGACCCCCACCACAGTGACACATTTTGTGTCATCTGGACTGTGCCTGTTTCTCCTTGGGGCCATGAGTTCTGCGAAAGCACCTCTGCCTCAGTAGAATTTCTGAACAGGGCTGGCGTCCGCCTGTCTGTCCAGCCCACTCTCCTAGTGCTGGTCCATTCCTCCCAGTCCGTCGCGCCTTCTCCTCCGCTGCTGCAGGAGCTGCTCCTGGATTGTGGCGTGGATGTGGAGGCGGACCGTGCACTAGCGCTGTGAATTTTGGTTGTCTGTCATGGCCGCGTCAGAGTTGTATAGACAGGCTGTTCCCAGTGTGTGGGGCTGTGTGATGTTTGCACACTGGCCGGCTCAGTGATGGCAGTATACAGAGGCCTCTGTGAAGGGCCCATGTAGGAGAAAGCAGAGTACAGCCCTGATGTTTGGCTTGAGTGGGTGTAGTAAGGGCCTGATCCCTGGTGTTCAGTGTACTCTGCAAACTGGGCCCTAGAGGCAAGAGCAGGGAAAGCAGAGCTGTAGTGAGGCAAGCTTAGGGGAGTATAGGTTATGTGTGCTCCCGGAGATGCAGCCTCAGGGAAGTGAGCTGTGCTCGCGCCTGACTCGCTCTTAATATGGGTTTTTGCGGCTTCAGCTCCAAGCGAAGAACCATGATGGGGCTGGGGCTGCTGTTTAGACAACCAGGCTGAGTGTCCGCTGGCAGCAGCTAGAGCACTGGAGATTCCATAGGTGAAGGAGGAGGCTGGAGAGGATGAGGATCCAGTCCCTGTGCTCTGGGTCACCCCAGGGTGCCCATTTGGAGGCAGATACTGATCAAACTCATTGACGTCAAAAGGCTCCATGTTGGCTATAACCTCATGGCTCATCTCTCCAATGTCCATATTTCCAAAGTCAATGTGGGTTTTTCCTCCCTCTGCTGTCACCCCTCGGCAGATACCAGGCCCTTCTCTCTTGCTGTCTTTTCCAGGCTGCGGTTCTGTCTTGGGAGTAGTGGGTGGAGTTGGGGGGCTATGACCCTGACCTGTCAATACAACACAAATAGATCAACCGATATGTTCTACAAATGGCAATCAATGAACATTTTTGTAAACTGGGGGAGTGGGAGAGGCCTGCAGCCACCTGCAGCATGAGGCTGTTGCCCACCTGCCAAAGGGGACCCAGACCCCTCACTTCCAGCCTCCTCCAGGTCAAGGCCCGTGTAGTGGGACTGCCCGAGCTCACCCTCCGCTTCAGCTTCAGTGCTTGAGCCTGAGCCCATCTTGCCATTCTTGCGCCGTCTTGGCTGATACTTGTAGTCTGGGTAGTCCTTCTTGTGCTGCTTTCTCAATCTCTCTGCTTCCTCAATGAACGGGCGCTTGTCATTTTCGTTGAGAAGCCTGCAGAAATAACATGTTCTAAAAATGACTAACATTTTCAAACAAATAGACGAGTTTTGCTTGTACTTGGCACAATGTATGACAAGTTATTTGCGTGCAGCTCAGTAGTCTTCACAGGTGTAGTCAGGTATTTGTTTTCAATCAAAGTCATTGAATCTATTGATTGGTGTCATAAAGCACATTAGACTCATTATCTAAGAAAACAGGCAGTCTGTTACCTCCAGAGCTTGCCCAGCGTTTTGCTGAGCTCTGCGTTGTGCAGATGAGGGTGCTGGTCGGCCAGTTTCCTCCTCGCAGCTTGGGCCCACACCATGAAAGCGTTCATGGGCCTCTTCACATGCGGCTTGTTTTTACCCCCAGTGTTCACGCGCACAGGCATCGGCACAAGTGTCCAGTCATAGCAGTTGAGTACTTGGCTCACAGCCTCACGAATGCCAGCAGGGAAGCGCTCATCTTCGTCATCAGATTTGGCAGAGGACTGCCCCACAGCCTCATCCAGCTCGTGTACATGCTGCACGCTGAGGGGAGAGTCCCCTACTCGGCCTGGGGACAGGGAGCGGCTGTCGTCTGACCCAGGGCTAAGCTCCACGTCAGACAGGCTCTGCTCCTCTCTGGACATGGTACCACTGTGCACACAGGCTTCTGGGTGTGCAGGGCTTCAGGCTTTCCACTTATAAGAAGACCGTGGGCTTACAGTTGGCTATGTGCTGAAATATGCTCCTTGACCTCTGCAGATTATAATATAAACTGCCAATCAGTCTCTACTCTTAGCCTCCGTTGCAAAACTCTGTGAGGGTTCCACATTAAAGTTCTTTCCATCCGGTTGGTTGGTATCATAGGCGGCACAGTGTGCGCCTTGGACCCCAGTTTACCTATAGTTTAAACACAACAACCTGCGTTGATTCCACCAAGCAGTATGTCCGTCAGCAGCGCTACTGCACCCCTCCACGTACCAAAAGAAAATCCACAAGAGGACCTGGAACAGAGTCGGCATCAGTAGATCAGAAAGTGTTGCATTTACACAGAGCTGGTTTTATTTCAGTGTCTTAGGGACTGAAGCTGCAGGTTAATACCTCAATAATTATTGTAAATATTTCCTACCGCCTTCAGTATGAAATATTGTTGTATTGTTCAAATTTAACACTTTTCTTAATTACTAACACACCTTGATTATACAATTGCCTTATTTCCATCCATCTATTCATTTTCTGATGCCTTATTTCCATTTGTAACAAAAACACACTTGCATTGACCAATTTTATAATTTAAACAATTTTATAATTTAAACTATTTTATAATTTAAACAATTGTATAATTTAAACAATTTTATAATTTAAACAATTTTATAATTTAAACAATTCTTATTGTCGTAATACTTTGTATGTACCTTCTTCTTAGAATTTTGAAAATGGCTTATACCATTTAAAGGGTGAAGTCAGATTCATTTTTTTTAAATAGTCAATCAAAATACATAGCCCTTTCCAACAGTCCAAAAAGGTGCACAAGTGCTTCACAGACTTCTGCAGATCTTGGGAGTTGTGAACTATTCGTAACCACATGCAGAGTCAAGTGCTAAAGAGCTTACTTCAGCAGTAGAAATTGCAAGTGTCCTGGTTTAGCGGAAGATCCACGGGGCCTTGTTTCCAGCCGCGCTCCCTCTCCAGCACTTGCTCTGTTCGCAGCTCGCGTCGCTGATGAATGTGAGCTGTGTGTGGATCAGGGCTTAAAGAGCCCCTTGTGTGGGACCAGAGGGGGACGTGCATGTGCACTTCTTAAAGGTCTTAAAGGAGCAGTACTGTCTGGGGCAGCTGCAGAGCGCAATGATTGGACCAAATATTCACAATACCAACCTGTAAATCAGCCACTCTTGTTACACACTACAAACAAAACCGATTTGAATGGATCGAAGGTCAAACGCTAGGCTAATATATTAAACCACCTATAAGTTCCACCTTATCTGGCCTATCCTACTGTTTTCGTGATTATTTGTGCAGTAGTTCCCAACCTTTTTGCCAGTGTGCAGAAGCATATGCTAGGGGAACTCTTTTTTAGGCTTTTACATTATACTAAGATCTCCATTTTCTTTGTTTTTGGTAAACTGATCCATGTTTTATCTTGAGAGAATCAGCTTTAAAATACTGTAGAGTACAGGAAACCTCACAGTAAAAGCGTACTAATATACTATATATGTGTGCGTGTGTGTGTGCGCGGGCATGTGTAATTAATCTTTATTTACAGTATATAAGGCCTTTCACAGGTGTGTGTTATGTTTGCCCTATGGCTATGGCTGGGATGTTATTGTGTTAAAATAATCACCACCATGTAGAGTACGTCAAGTATCTTTATCAGCCAACATAGACTCCCAAACGTGGTCTTGCGATACAGGTGTACAACTTCATTGAACACAGCGCCTCTAGCGTCTGGATGTTACATCTCCCTTCCAAACAAAATGTAGGTACAACATGACTTGGATGGCATGTAACCAAAAATGGTGAATGACAGCATAATATAGTAACACTGTATTGCTATGCACTGCTGTCTAGATAAGGAACAAAACAAATGCATTAATATAAACAAAAGTTATACAATTTCTTGACCTAGCTTATAAGCTGAAATAGTGCAATTGTACTTTGATGTTTTACTTTTTTGCTTATTTGCTCAAATTGAGTAGGCAAAGCAAATTTTTTAAATGAACAGCATAAACAATATTAAAATGCCTATATGCAACAATGTGAACAATTCTCTTATTGGCATTTACAAATCCAGTATTTGTCTGGGCTTAGTGACACGGCCTGATCTTGTGGTGTAGCCGGGCTGCTCTTGGGGCTGTTGGGTTGCAGCTGGAGCAGGCTCAGGCATGTGAGGAGTGTCACTGAGCTGAGGCACTGGTTGGTTGTTTTCTGATGTGCCTGTAGTTTCCTTGGATTCGCGAAGGTGGCGCCTGTTACGCCGAAAAGTCTGTCCTTCCTCCGTTTGAATGTTGTAGCTCCTGTCGGTGTGAGCTTGCTGTGTCACTGTAGCAGGTCGCCAGGAACCATCTTCTTGGCGGAAACGAATGTGTGTACCTGCTGGGAGTGGTGGTAGCGCTTTAGCTGATCTGTTGTAGTATTCCTGCTGACGGTGCTGGCACGCTACCCTGCGCTGCTTGACGATGCGCAGAGGAGCAACTTTTGGCTTTAGTTGTGTTGGTGTTGTAGGGAGAATTGAGCGTAGCCTGCGACTCATCAGGAGTTGTGCTGGGGATTGTCCACAGGGGTGTTTCTGTACTCCAACAGTCCAATATATGGGTCTTTTCTGTCAGCTTGAGCTTTATCCAAGATCCGTTTGGCCATTGCTTTGAGGGTACCTTGGGCTGGTGGTGACATGTGTAAAGTCCCAAACTTCTGCAAAACGCTCAAACTCTGCAGCACTGTAGCAGGGGCCGTTGTCACTGATGACACGTTCTGGGATACCATGACGTGCAAACGCCTTTTTAAGTTTTAGGATTACAGCTGATGCAGTGCAACTAGTGAGTTTTTCCATTTCAAAGAAACGACTGTAGTAATCCACTGTAGTGATGTAATCCTGTCCATTCCATGTGAATAAATCTGTTCCTACTACCTGCCATGGCCTTTGTGGAATAGCGTGTGACAGTAGTGGTTCTTTGGTGTTAGCACTGCGTCGCTCTTGGCATATACTACACTGACCAATCATGGCTTCTATTTGCTGACCCATACCTGGCCAAAACAGTACATCGCGTGCTCTGTTTTTGCATTTTTCTACACCCATGTGGCCAGCATGAATACGGTCAAGCATGTCATTTCTAAGGGTCAGAGGGATTACTATTTTCTCGCCCTTGAATAGTATGCCCTCGACTTCGCTTATCTCATCTCTGTGATTCCAGTATTCTTGTGCAAGTGGCGGGCATTGTTTACGTCTGTGGGGCCACCCCGACTTTGTGACTTGTTTCACTACCATGAGCTGGGAATCATGTGCAGTAGCGTTTTTTATTGCTTGTAATTTAGCCTCGCTTACTGGCATGTTGTTGATGAGAGTGTGTATTTGAGCCTCCATACCTTCACGCAAGCTGTCATCACTGTACTCAATCGACTTTCTCGACAACGTGTCAGCTACCGGTATTTCTTTTCCTGGTTTATGCGTGATGTGGATGTTGTACTTTTGGAGTTGAAGTATCATTCTTTGGCGACGCGGTGGCGAAGCAGAAAGTGGTTTCTTTAATATTGCCTCCAGGGGCTTATGGTCAGATTCCACAGTCACTTCTCTGCCGTACATGTACTCTTGGAAACGTTTACATCCAAAGAGCACTGCGTACAACTCCTTTTCGATTTGAGCGTAGTTTTGTTCTGTACTGTTCAGTGATTTGGATGCGTAGGCAACCGGCCTGCCATTTTGGAGCAGTACCGCGCCTAACCCGTTCTTTGAGGCGTCAACTTGAAGAGTGAGCTCTTCGTGAGGGTCAAAGTAAGCTAACACCGGGTGGTTTGTGATAAGCTCCTTGATTTGATCAAACGCTTTGTTGTGCACAGCATCCCAAATGAACTCACTGTCTTGCTTTAGTAACTGTCTTAGTGGTGCATTCACTTCTGAGATGTGTGGTGTGAATCTGGCCAAATAATTGATCATGCCCAATACAGTCTCTAGCTCAGACTTGGACTGCGGTGGCTGCATGTCTTGTATGGCATTCACTTTTTGTGGGTCTGGGCTGATGCCTTTGTTTGAGAGCTTGTGTCCAAAATAACTGACTTCTTGGACACAAATTTTACACTTATCTGGATTCAACTTGAGTCCTCTTTCTCTTGTGCGTTGTAACATAGCTCTCAAGTTTTCATCATGCTCCCCTTTTGGTTTTGCCAAAAACCAGGATGTCGTCTACTATTGCAGCAACACCTCTGAGCCCTTCATATGTCTCATCCACGCGTCTCTGAAACTCATCTTGTGCTGAGCTGATTCCAAAAGGCAGCCTAAGGAATCTGTATCTGCCAAATGGTGTATTAAAGGTTGTCAGCATCGATGACTTTTCACTTAGTTTTATGGCCCAGTAGCCTGATCTGGCGTCCAGTACACTAAAGTACTGTGCACCAGCGAGTTTCGTGGTGACGTCTTCGAGTGCGGGCAGAGGGTAGTGTGGTCTCTGAATAGCCTTGTTAAGGTCTCTTGGATCTAAACATATTCGTAGTTTATGTTTTTGTGCTTTTTCGACAACAACTAGAGCATTTACCCACTCCGTTGGTTCCGTTACCTTTGTGATAACTTTGTCGTCCGCCATTTTGTCCAGCTCCTCTTTTAACCGTGCTTTTAGTGCGATGGGGACTCTGCGTGGAGGGTAAACCACTGGTGTTGCGTCTGGATCAATGCGGAGTGTGCATTCTCCTTTAAACTCTCCAATGCCCTGGAAAACATCTGAAAACTCTTTTAACATTGTTTTGGGGTCGTTGTGTGTTTTTGTTTCACTCACCCCCATTACCAGTCTTATTAGGTTCAGTTCTAGGCTTGCGCTCAGTCCTAGGATGGGTGGTGCTTTGGCGTTGATGATGTGAAAATCAAGTTGTGCCTTTTGGTCCTTGTGTTCACATTTCAAACTGCAGATGCCACGTACCTTTAATGTTTTTCCTCCATATGCAGTGATTGATTGTAAAGGCGGTGCCAGAGGTTCACTCTTGAATAATGCCTTGTAAATACTGTCTGGAATGGCATTAATCTCTGCACCTGTGTCTATTTTAAATTTCACTGCTTCTTGACTTGGTCCAACATTTATGTCTGCATATGCTTGCACATTGTTTTTGTCTGCATTTACAGTTGTGATACTGTCGATGAACAGCTCACAGTCTTCATCATTGTTTTGCTCAAGTGCATGTACAGGTCTTCTTTGTGGCTTTTCTGAATATGCAACTTTGGATCTGCATGCTTTTGCAAAGTGGTTGTATCTTTTGCATTTCATGCATTGTTTACCTTTGGCAGGGCACGTATCTCTCGGGTTGTATGTGCCTGTGCAGCGGTCGCATTCTCTTGCTCCTTTTTGCTCTTTGGTTGTGGTGTATTTTTGCGGACGTCGCTGTTTGACTGCATGTATATCCACTTTAGCCATGTCCTTGGCTCCGGTCATCTCTTTCAATTGTGTTTGTACCAGCTCGTGAGAGCGCGCAATGTCTATTGCTTTGTCCAGTGTGAGGTCAGCTCCTTGGCTCAACAGCTTCTCACGCACACGTGGGGAGTTTGTGGCAAAAACAATGCGGTCCCGGACCATCTCGTCACTGTTTACGTAGCCGCAGTGTTTAACGAGGAGTTTTAAATCAGTAATGAAGTGCTCAAATGACTCGCCGCTGACTTGTACCTTTTCCTGGAAACGATATCTGCCGTAGATCGGGTTGGACTTTGGTGATATGTATGCCGCATACTTCTACGTCATGGTGCTACGTCCCTTAGGACTTCGCTAGTGGGATATCACTCGTGACCCCCAGGTCACACGCCAGAGAGATCAAAATAATTTGCTCCAATCACCAGCCACCCTCCTCTATAAATGCCCCTGCACAAGGCCGCACCCCCTCTTTCACTCTGGCGCCGTTTGAGATCTACCACAGTACTTACTTCATTCTGAGATGTCTTCCTTGTTCGTCCGAGTTCCCTTCGCCCTCCGGCGTCGGACGTGGTCGCTGGATCCAGACGGTGGAGGACTTCACCTCTGTGGGTGCCACCACTCGAGGAAGGAGGAGGATGCAACCCACGTTGTGCCCGCGGATGGACCCGTTCGTCCATTACGCGACACGTGAGTGGCCTAAGCCCCTAGCAGCCAAGAGGCCTGCTCTGGGGTACGACATGTACTGCAGCGTGCAGGACTGGTCCTGGACCGGTGGTGTCCCGGACATCGAGGATTCAGTCCGCATGGCCCTGGAGCCCTCCGCATCCGTGTGGCCCGGCACCAGACCTCTCCTTCCCTCCGAGCGGGACAGGATGTCTTGCCGATGCTGGATAGATATTATGCCAATGCGGCACAGGTCGTCACATTGGCTAACAACATGACTTTTCATCACG